CAATCAGTCCAAAAAGTTAAGCCACCGTCTACGATTGTAGTGGAAGTGGTGCAATTTAGTGGGATGCCTAAAGTTAGGCATTAACACCATCGGATGCCTGCTCAACGGCCTAGAGGTTAAGCGCTCACGCGTGAGACTAGTGGGTCCTGGGTTCGAGTCTAGCGAGGCGAGGTCGTAGGTATGCACTGCTGAGGATTCTTATACTAGGATGAAACGGTCGTCTAGTGCTTCCAGGTTTTCAATGGTGGTCCAGCTTGGATCAACTCGTGAATTCAACTTTGAAAATCCAAATAGATTAGTGAAACTATAGACTTTTATTGACTTGTGTAACACATATCCTACTCGTTGCCTACTACAATGTGCTAATCTGATTAACATTATCGAAGGTTAAAAGCAGTCACAAATTAGTGTGTTAGGCCATGTAAAAAATACAGATTTACTGATTATGTCACGTTCGGTGATTATATTTGATGCGTTTCATATTTCCCAGTTTCCGTTGTCATATTATTGTTTAAGTAATTATAACTTCTGTAGTAGAGCTTTCGTTTAATTGCATAAGCTTTTTGGTTCTGTAGCACCATAAACTAGTAACTTACTGATGCATTATTCAAGGTTAATCATAACTAAAGAATTAAAAGATAAACCTAGTCACTATAACCTAACTCGTTGCTACGGTTAACTGACACATTTAGGCTGTAGTGCTGAATAATGATTCTAAATATGATATCCTTTTGTTGATAAATTTGCACTAATAATTCTGAATAAGAAGATAACAGATAATGAACTTAGTTCGTTTTGAATAAGTAATAATTACAAGAGTACAAACATCGTCTTCATTAATCATAATAATTCAAGTCATGAATCTTGGTAAAAAATTACTTTACAGGAGCGATGTCAGTTAGTAGCTATTTAATTGTAATTAGATAAGATCATTCGGTGAGACTATAATTTACGGACGACCTTTGAGCGACGCCAGACTGACTTTGACAGTGTCCACCTAATAACTAGGACCAAATGAGGGTTATAAACTAGTGTGTGAGGAATTAGAATTATGATTTACAGTTGATGATTAAGGTTAGAAATTAGATTTCGGGTTTTCATCACGAACTGACATCAGCTATAATGCCAAATCTCTATTTAACCAAATGGATGAGTGAATTCCGTGCTAAAATCCCCAATCTATTATCTTATACGTTATTGGTTCGTCCATAAATTACAGTCTCGTCGATCATTCGAATGTGTTCAATTATTGTTGAGTGTTATCTAGCTACGCATTTTATGTCTCCTTTAAGCTCACTCTGTTGACTACAACTAACTTACTTCTATGTGTGAATTATTTGTAACGACTGAACCACTTTCACTATCAAATCTAATCCTCATTACTTGAATTCAAAAACAATATAAATGATATCTAGATGTCAAGTGAAGACATGATTAGTATTAATGTTCCCTGAGTATACTACTTATTAGTAACTCATATTCTATTACAAAATATTTCATTGTATTAAGTCATAAAATTATTTCACATAGATCTATCAAGCCTTCAGCATCTGGAAGGAACCTAAAAAATAGTCGTTTATTGTCATTTTTCGATTACAAGCTATTAAGCAAGACTTATTATCCATTACCACAGATTAATGACTGTGAAATGAAGATATTAATTAACATGTATGATAATACCACAGTTAAAAGATACATTCATACTTGGTGAATAGCATGATTGAAAGTAGTATTTTAAATAATATGGTTAGACTTGAATTTTACAGCCTATTTTGATTAATTAGAACAATCTACCTAACCGAATAACTCATAAAATTAGATACTGTAATATACTAGGTAATGCGTAGCGCAATAAAAATCTGCTAAAACTTAAATTATCATTATAGGGATTGTGGAGGTTGCTGGCTGTTATGACTTGCGAATCGAATGCTACTTTTTGTATCTGGTCGTCGCTGATTGTTATGTCGGAATCGCTGACCACTTATGCTCGGAACGAAGTGACCTCCACAATTCCCACGACGCGAAAGTACGAACACAAGACTGGTATAAGCGAATTTTTATTAGTCCAAAACACTATGATGACGACGACGACCTTAGTCGAAAATACACTCATTTATATATTGATTGTACACCCATTTTGATTAATAATTAGGGTGAAATCACATATATAACAAATCACATATAGAGCATAGTTCATGTCAATTAAATACAAGAATATCGTATATTATACAGAATAAAATATCATACGAGAAAAGAAAATAAATATTACATTGAGTAATAATTACATTGAATCAAAACAGAAGTAATGTTGAATAAAACCCATAATGAGTAAATCGATCGAAAATTGACTTTCTTTCCATCATATCACCCCCCCCCCTTCTTTTTTTGAAGACTCCATGTTGAGATCCATTTTTAAATTTTATGACTTTATCCTTCCCCACGAAACAGTGTTGGATCCTCATATTCCCAAGTTACAGTTAATGTGGCTCTATTTAAAGCATATTTCTTGCATTGAGTAGAGAGTCCACTAGAATTGACTAGATGGTGAGGATCAATGACAGAAGACATGGGGTCATTAAGGTTTGATTCTTGTAAAACATTTTCATCAGATCTCTTGAAAATCTCATTAGTAGATAATCGATCACTAAAATAATCAGTATCTATCAAAATTTTACTAGGTTCTTGATCATCGTTTGACGCATCCGACAAAATTTTCTCATTTTTGTAAGAAATTTGATCAAAAGCATGTGAGTCATTAAGATAACTCATATTTGGTAATACAACTAGAGAACCCCAATAAGTTCATGCATCAGAAAATCTTGTTGTAGAACGATAAGCTCCATATCATGCACCTGTCTTTATTATGCTCCTTGATTCATTTTCTGTTTCTTTGTGGGCGGGTACTGCAATAATTTCATGAGCATTTAATAAGACATCGTCTTTCTGTGAGCTGGACAATTCAGTGTTTGTACATGGTGTTTCGGGGGCAATGGAATTTGAACCCACGACAGGTCATGTCTCTGAAATGGACATTTCTGGATCACTGGGCACATTATGAATGACTGACAGTGCTTCGCTTACATTACTGCTCGTCAAGGATTCATAGAGGCTTTTGTCGACATATTCATACGTTCTGCAGTCATTTTCCAGCTTGGTATGCAAATTAGAAATTAATTTATCAACTTCTGTTACATCTCCAAAACATGGGTGATTTAGCAGCCATGTGCGTAAATTTTCTAAAACATTCAACTGGTTATTTTTGAAACGCTGCTGCTGTCGCTCAAATATCAACTGTAATTGATCGGAAGAGATAGCCATTTTCTGAATCAGCACAGTCATGAGAAATACTGTATGATTTATTAAGAATCAATGCCGTTGAAGGAAACAGGCGAGAATTCTGTATGCTGATTGTCTTGGCTTTTTTTCCACCCCGTCGACAATTGTTATATTTTGTGAATGTGAACGTGAGACTGGAGGTCCTTGGTTCAGTCCTGATATGTGAGTTTGTGAATGTGCACTATTAAATAGTTCCATTCTAGTATAAAAGAAATCGTTCAGTACATTCAGATTTTCAATAGTTATTTACTCCATCTCGACCTTTATTTCATGATAGTTAGAACCCTGAAAGTGGATTCAAATCTTACAAACTGTTGGGGACATTAGATTCCCAGAACTCACTTGTAAAAAGAACCTAATTTTGTGATTTTATCTAGAAAATTTCAATTTCTTTCTTTTCGCGCCAAAAGCGCTCTTTTCACCTTCATGTCGTAATTCCCACTTGGGAGAACCTTAAAAGTTATTGGTCCGTTGTGTCTTTTAGTGTGCTATTTTGTAGCCCTTCTCAAGGACGATTTTGTGCTGTATATATACGTCTTGACTTACGTTTGTTATTACCGTTCGTGCTTCTGGCTTTTTGCAGAATATGCTTCTCCATTCGGACGTCAACTTCTCTTTCTAGTTTGCGGGGCTGAGACCTAATAGAATAGATAGTTTATTGGCCTTTGGTCACGAAGTCTTTGTTCCGTTCGCAGTCTAAGTGAACCTGTAATCGCTCCAAACCTAGAAAATTTGGCGACGGGGATGGGATTCGAATCCACGCGGATAAACCTCAATGGAATAGCAAACCTAACACAAATGAGCCTCTTTCCCTTCAAGTTAATTGATACATCTTTCTTTTTATTATCAATCAGCACAAAACCTTTTAAGTAGAATTTCTTCTCAACTATTTCAGCTATCAATTATCTCAATTCATTATACAATTCAACAAGTCAATATCCTTACATCATAGTCATGTTTATTCTCTCAAGTCATTGTTACAAAGATCTAATCTAGACAATTATAGCATAAGTTAAAATGTATAATAATAAAATAAAACAAAATAATTTTTATTAAATGGATCACAGGATTATTATAAAAAGATAAACAAATTTATCACCATAGTGACTTTTGAAATTTTTTTGAAAAAAAAAATTGAATATGGAAATAAATCAAATTCAATCTCAAAGTTCTTTGAAATAGGTAACTCTTCTCTTTGATAATAATAATAATAATAATAATAATAATAATAATAATAAGTACTGACCCGTAAAAAGCAAAGGTAATTACGTAATTTAAACTCGAAACAATAGACCTGAACATTAAATGTGATCATTTTCTATTCCTTTTTAAATATACCTCATAACACTTATGATTAGATATTGAGTAAAAACAAAATTATATACACCATTGATATTTACATTAAAACAGAACATGTAACCTACTTTGATATAATTGATACTTTGATTATACTAAAATAAACTTTACTCTTTTATTTAAACAAGCATTAAAATTAAATAAATTGAACATTGAACATTGAACAATTAAATTATGAATAGTTCAGTTCAGTTCAATAATAATAATAACAACAATATTAGAAACGATGACGACAATCACAACAACAAGAACAATAAAAAAAAAGAAGAAAAAGGTATAAATACAAAATTGAAATTGAATTATTTTTCATTGAAATAAACAACAATGAAAATTATAATGAAACAATTATGCATATTCATTGTTTTATTAAGTAAATAAATCATAACAAAAGAATGTTTTTTTTTAAAATTATTTTCTATTTTATGTTTCTAGGTATAAATGAAGTAACATTTGGAAATGAAGAGAATGTAAGTATATAAAGTATAAAATAATGATTTGTTTATTAAAATGATTTATTTTCCTTAAATTAAATCTTAAATAGGATGGGGTTTTTTTTTATTAGATCATTATGGAAAGCTTAGAAGCATTGAATCACTAAAAGTTCTCGGTTTGAATCTTGTGAGATAGAATCGTAGATACATACTAGTGAGGAGTTATATAATAGGATGAAATGACGGTTTAATACTTCCAAGGTTTTCTATAGTGGTCTGGTTTTAATGAACTCATGATTTCAACTATTGAAAATATTATAATATTCACAAAAATCACTTTTGATACTAATCAGTATATGCTCACTAGTGATTAGTTTCAAGAGATATTTCCTGGAGTTCTAGTGAGAAGAAGTGACCAGTGGAGTTCAACTAGGTCTGTTGTGAGATAATAACTCACTGAAGACAATGGTGGATGTGTGGCTCAATTTTGTGGATTGCTTGAAGTTAGACATTAACATTGTTGGATGCCGGCCGGCTCAGTGGTCTAGAGGTTAAGCGTTCGCGAACGAGACCGATAGGTACTAGGATGAAACGGCCCTCCACTGCTTTCAGGCTTCCCATGGTAGTCTAGATTCAATTTACTCATAATCTCAAATATTGAAATTACTATAATATCTATGAAAACCGCTTTCGATTCTAAAATATTTCCGTTAAGTCAATGTTGATAATTCATGTGCCTTAATATAGTTTTATATTTGAATGTCGAAATTTGATTTTGAGATGATGGAAAAGATTTGTAGTTCAGGTGAATGATTTCGATGAAGTTTCGTTCTCTGAGCTGGATGATTTGGTCGTGGAACTTTCATCGTTCTTCTGAACGACATCATCAGCATAAACTTCAGATAGACGTTTGTTATATATTACTTACATGTAATACAAGTATTAGCCACAAAGAAAGAATACAACTAAGATGACATTATTATAGTGCTGTTATCTACTTAACTATTCAGATTATATATTATTCTTTTTAAAATCAATATTGTTTATCTCACTTAATAACATTTATACTTTTCTTTAGATATACCCTGAACATTCGAAAAGACCACAATGTCATCTCTGTAAGACTTGACACATTTCATTTTTTATAAAAAAACCTAATTTCAAGTTGAAATTCATTTGGTATTGTTTTACTTGTATCTTCCCATTGTGATTTAAGACTGAAATTGTTCAGTCTCTTATTGGCATATGTGCATCCTATGCGAATTGCCTCGATATAGCCTTAAGTCACAAACATTATAAGCAAAGTTGGATAGTCGTTAGCAGAGGAATTTAAACTTCACCCCATTGCACAAGCAGGTGGTTATCAGGACTTAGTAGCTAAGCGGTTAACGCGATGGCGTTTGGAGTGAACGGCACTGGGCTCGAGTCCCGGAGTGAACATTAATTCTGGGATGCAGGTATATCTAGCTGACGAGTCCCAAATAGGAAGAAGCGCGCGTTGTCGATTCCACTGCTAGCCACTAACCATCTTTGCATAACATTTATGATAAAAAGGGTAATACTTCTCATTAAACATTCTATTTCATACGTTGTGATACGTATCTACAATAGGATCGTACTTTGATTGGTAATCAATCTAATTCTGGATCAGTTTTGATTATCAATAATTGCAGTTGACCACCACTACATTACAATAATCCTTTTTTTATAGGATTAAAATGTATCTGATGTTCAGTGTCAAAACTGGAAATAGGTAATAATGTGCTCTAAACTTCAATAGATTACTTGTTAGTAATCATTTGCGTTATAGTGGTTCAATGTCAGACTCCATTTGGATAGTATGAATGATTGTTATCGAAATATACATCTCGGCAATCGTCGTATGTAATTATCGGCTTTAATGGCGTAGGAGAATTAAATAAGTCAGATACGAGAATGGATTTTGAATACATATATATTTTACACTTACTAATCTAGAGAAGAAATGAGAGCGTTGAAACGAATAGAAGAGAGTGAAACGAAATGATGTGCAGTAAAGAACGCAAAAGACCCAACTTCATTTAATCAAGGGTTCATCAATATTCATAGTCACATAAAAACAAACTACAGACATGTGATGAATGGGATAAGAAGTGTACACATATATGCTCATATAGAAACAGTCAGGAATGAATAATTACCAATTACAAAACGTAACTCAAAAAGAACGAATAAATTGACATGTTCAGAAGCTAGAATAAGTTTACATAGCAAACGACACTATAGAGTTTATAGCCTAAACAAACTAATATTCTCTTTTAAATGCAGAAAATTAAACAAAATAGTTTAAAAGATGGCAAGACTATAATTTTGGATGAACTAGTCACATGTAAGATAACAGGTATCGGATTTTGGCGCGAAATTCACTCATTCATTCGGATAAATAGAGTTTTGGTATTATAGCTGATGTCAGTTCATGATGAAAACCCGAAATCTGATTTCTAACCTTAATCATCAACTGTAAATCATAATTCTAATTTCTCACACACTAGTTTATAACCCTCATTTGGTCCTAGTTATTAGGTGGACACTTTCAAATCTAGTCTAGCGGCAACGATACTATTTTAAGTAGTTACTATGATTTGATGTAAAATATTTAAAAAGTTATAATCAAGTTAAGGCTATTGTTTATGATTTATTTTATTTTTCTATGGAAAATTATAGAATTTCATTTTAATTATAGAATTATATTTAAAAGGAATGATAATTTCCTGATTGAATCATGTTTAAAGACTCTATTGAAACGTTTGCTTAAATGAAACTGTACAACCATTACATTAATTAATATTTCAATTGATTTAGGTAAATGCTTGTTTTTAAACTAGAACTCTATAATCCAGATTTTAGTATTTAGTATAAAATAGTGAAGTATGAGTGACATTGTATGGTATATTGAAGTTCTAAATGATTATCAAACTGTGGCTAATTGTTTCTTGATACTTTTTTTTCAAAGAAAATGCCTATACATCAGTGTTTATCCCCCTGTATAAGGAAACATTTAACAAAGTAGTTGAAAATTTAAGCTTATATAGCTACACTGGAAAGTTCTGTATTTGATTCTCAATAAGGTTATATAAGTATTCATTACTAATGAGTTCCATACTAGGATATAACACTTATCTAATACTTTCTAGTACCTTCAGTAACATTAAATCATAATGAATATCACTTACAAAATTTATTATTTTTATAAGAATTCTTCTGCTTGTTGTTGTTCCATGAACTGGATAATCATAATCGTTTGTTTTGTGTTGTTTTTTTTCAGTATGCGGAATTTGTAGACGTATAGGAAGATTGATTAAAATGTCCATTGAACATGAACCATTCCTTCCATTCACTTCAAGAATAATATCCCTGATATGTAGACTAATTCCTGAAGAACAGTGGAGAAATGAAGTAATATACTCATATGATTACTAATATTTTTGGTAGAATATTAATATATTTATCTTTAATTAAGATGTTTTAAATACTACATATAAGTAGTACTCTTCACAGCATAAAATAATAATGTAATATTTCATGTTCAAAATAAATTAAATTAAGAAAGGATCCAATTCAGAAACTGATGAATAAGGATCTAGTTCTTTGATTATATTGAATACTTCTTCAAATCTAAATTTTGGAGCGCTTTCATTGAAAATATAAGATTATTTAGTATTTAAATATTGGGAACGCTAACCAGAAAATTGGGAATTCATGAGTCAATTGAAGCTAGACTACAACGGAGAACCTGGAATCACTGGATGGGCATTTTATCTTAGGATGGGATTCCTCAGCAGTGTGAATCCATGATCTCTCCGCGCAAGATTCTTGCGGAGAATGTATACTTTGTTTAAAAATAGGTGGTCGACAAGTGACTTCGAATACAGATTTCGTGCTATTTGGAACTTTTCAGCAAGATTTACCTGTAATCGTGAATGGATCGATGCTCCTAGCTAGATCGCATCACGTGACACTCAGCGTAAACGTTATAGACGATACTACTAAGCCTTAATTCCTTCACGATTACAGATATATCTTGCTGACAATCGCCATATATATACATATATATTGTGATAGAGTTTTGTTCTCTGAGCTGGACTGTTTAGTCGTGTAGCTTTCATCGTTCTTCCGGACGACATCATCAGCACTTCTACTTGAAGTTTGTGCTGATGATGTCGTTCAGAAGAACGATGAAAACTCCACGATCAAACCATCGATCTCAAAGTACAAAACTATATCAAAATCATCTACCTGAGCTGTGAATATTTTCCACCATCTCATATATATATATTGTCCATTTTTAACAGTGTTTAGACATTACACACTATTTACCGAGGACAATCCATAAATTGGCTCATCATATAAATGTTTCCTTTGAATGTTCTGTAAGTAAACTATTTATTATTATGATGTTTTTGTTTTAATCATCAAATTTCTTGTTTCGTTATTTTGATACTTGAAATATTACATAAGCTAATAACATTTTACACAAAGTCTACATAACTTAAGTATATATGTAATGATCAACTAGGCGGTTAGCTTGAATAAATTGTAATAATATAAAACAGACAGTTTCATAAAATAATTCGCTTCTATTAACAATTTTATTTTCAGAATATATACAATTGTATTTTATAAGCAAAGATGGATGATGGTGGCTAACAGTGGAATCCAGGACGCGAGTTTCGTCCTATCTGGGACTCATCAGCTAGATATATATTTGCATCTCAAAGTTTATATTCATTCGGGGACTTGAACCCAGTACCATTCGCTTCAAACGATATCTCGTTATCCACTCAGCTACTGAGTCTTGATAGCCACTTGCTTGTGAAATGTTGTGAAGTCTAAATTCCCTCGGTACTGTTTACTTGAATCTTCCCATTGTTGTTAATCGAGTCCCAGATTGAACATCATCTCTAAGATGCAGATACATCCAGTTGACGTGTCCAAAATAGAACGAAACGCATGTCCTGGATTCCACTACTTACCACTATCCATCTTTGCTTATAAATATAATTTATGTGTTTCAATTAGTTATGTAATTCATTTTTTTTATATATTAGAAACTAGGTTTCTGTCACCATGAACATACAATGTTAGAAGATTCTGAAATTTCATCATGTAAGTATAAAATTTCTTAAATACATATATTCTCGGTGAATCGCTTATAATATTCTATTGAAGTTAGTCGTCAATGGAGCATTTGCCATTTCAACTGCTTAATATTCTCTTTTTCTACATGTAAAACTTTACAGTTGTAAAGTTGGGTAACCTAAATCCAATATTTTTGATTGACATCATGAATCAATTGATGTTAGACCAACATTAAAAAGCTGGGAGCACCAGCTCCCCGGCAGTGGGTTCCCACGATCCCACTCATGGGATTCAAACCCAGAGCCTTTAGTCTCGCACGCGAACGCCTAATCTACTGGACCACTGAGCCGGCATCCAAAGGTGTTAATGTCTAACCTCAACCAATATTGCACAATTATTAGTATAAGGTTGTGAAGATTGTTGAGCTTACAGGGGCTCGTACTATGTCAAGCTCACATGGGTTATTCTAACCTCTAACAGATCAATCTATTTATACTTCTCAAGCCATATTTTTACCCAGTCACTTATTCGCTTATCAAACGTGACTATTTTTATGTGAGCGTATGTGTGTACATCTTTTATCTTACTAATCACTTGTTTGTAAATTATTTTTATCTGACCATAAATATCGATTAACACTTTATTAAAGGGAGTTGGTCCACTCGCCTACTCCATTAAGTATCAATTAGTTTCACTTCTCTTTCTCCCATTTGCTTCCTTCTCTCCGTCTCCCTGATTGTCTGTTCAGATCAACGATTGTATGAAATATACGTATTCGAAACTTCGTTCTCGTATTTGACTTATTTATTCACTAACGCGATTTAAGTTGATGATTATATGCGAGGATTGGAGGCATGCATATTTTGATAACAAGCAGCAAACTATCTACCTGGAGTCAGAACCCGGGCTACTAAAAGATTTTATTGTAATCTTGAGCTGATTAGTGCTAGATCTTCATTGAAAACCTTGAACACATGTGTAAAACACGACAATAGAAAGGAGGACTGTGGTCGATATGAGAAGTTACAAAGTAATTATATATTCAATTGAACAGAGACTTCAGTCTTTCGTTCGCATCTTATGATATATTTTGCTATGTGAACTGTCTTCTCGTTTGGTCTCGAAGTGTTCCACCAAACCCGTGCTTTCGATGCAACGAAACTCTTCACTTCATCTGATAATTGTAACAACTTTGACGTCAAGTTCCTCCACACACTACTTACGATCTTATGAGTGACGTCCACTATACTGGATGACCATTTCGTCACAGAATAGGACTCCTCAGCAGTGCTCATCCAAGATCCTGCACACGAGGCTCGAACCCAGAACTTTTAGACCAAACGGTGTTAATACCTAACTTTAACAAATCCACAATAGTGCGCGACCATCTTTAATTGTCTTCGGTTAGTAAAATTGATAAATAACATATTATATCATTCCGAAATCTTTCAATCTAGAGATAAAAGTTTGCAAAAGAAAAAATTGGTTTGTTTTAATAATTTCAAATTTTTTTCGTAATAGTTCAACTTCAATGTTTTGATGAAGATTCTATCGATTTTCAGAACATTATTCTTTATTATATTTCTTTTTCAATTTAGGTATTAATGATCATATAAATTATGGCTTGTCTTTAGCCAAATCACCAGAATATGAAGAGATAATCATAAAGAAGATATGTAAACAACATGCAGCTGATAAACACAAAGTAGGTATCCATATTTTTTTAATGATTTGAATGAACATATTTTGTGATGATTTTCATAATGGTGAACAACAGAACAATAATGTGAACTCATAATCTCATGTTACTGCATGAGACTCAAGTTGAAAATTTAAATTTTTCAGTTTCAATTTAGCTATTTCTATTACTGTACTTCACCTTGATTGCTGTTAGAGGTATGAGGGCAGTTATCACTTTCCAGGTCTTCTGGAGGTACCTGAAAAGGAAATTGGGTTAGGGGTGATCTTAGTGACCTGAGAGCGTGATCGCAGTGACCGAGTGACAACTTCTTGAAGTCGGTCACACACGACATTTTTGTGAGTAATTTACGTGTTAGCTCCATACTTGTTGGGACCTCACCGCCGGAGACGGATATCTGTGGGATAACGCGAGATGTGCATTTTTAGGGTCGACCTTTTCTAACACCACTCCTCCTTGTGGAAAGGTAGCATCGCTGTTATGCTGGTTGTCTGAAGGAAACACCTTACTGCCGTCACACCTCTGTGCAGTCAGCAGTACGACTTTGCTTTAGGACCTTTGGTCTATTGCTTTTAGTTTTACCGTTTTTCAACCGACCTGTCTGGCATGGTATAACGTTGAGAAACAATTGTTCTAGCCAGTATAGCTCGATTGGTTCATCAAGATAAGCAAGCCCGACCACCACGTCAAGGTAGGAAAAACATACCACAAATGTTTGGCGCCCGGATTAACACTAACTATTTTTATGAAATTGGTGTTCATCTTGTTGTGCTAATGAAGAGTGGCAACTTGGACCGATGGATATACATTCCTGGTCTTACGTTGTAGCTGATGGACTGACTGACTTCACCTTGAAATATGAAGGATATTAATTGTGATCAGTTGTATAATCTTGAACGAGTATTGACCGGTGAAACAATGAAACAATTATTTTCAATAATTATTCATCTGAACTTGTCTTTAACATGAATAAGAGTTTCCAGAAAACAATTTAATTCAGTCATTTAAACTAGGGATTAATGGTTGATAAGCAGCAAATTTCAAAGCTGACAGTACATCGAATCTGGAAATCGAAATCAAAACTTTCGATTTAGTATGCAAAACCTTAATATCTAGACCACTGAGTCTTGATATAATTGTATATGTGACAAATTTCATTCAGTCCACGATATTTCACGACCATCCTTCTTTGTCTTCGATGGGCATCTCTTCCTCACAGCTGACAAGGTTGAATTATGATCTGTTCATGATCGCAATGAAATTCAACAATCTCCACAAGCTTATACTGACAATACAAGTCTTTATATAAACTACTTTCTGGTAGTGTTTTTCTAAGACATATTCTTTAGTAAAATCAGCTGTTTGAAAATAAAGATTTTAGAGCTCATAAGTAGAGCACAATTAATATGATCATTGGGTTGACTTTTAATGACATGCATTTATGTGACGAATGCTACCTACAGAATAAACTGATCTTCATTAAACCATTTCAACAAGAGCTAAATTATGATCTCACTAGTGATTAAATTCGCGATACGTTCTTGAAGTTCTAGTTACAAGTTATAGCCGATAGAGTTGAAAAATTTCGGTTGAGAAAATGTCTACACAACTATTATTTGCTGATAATCAAGGTACCATGAATTTCTTGAATTTGAGATTGTTTTCCGGCAAATCCTATCCCAGTGTTTATAATTAGTGAGTACTCTCCCTCGAGACCTTCAGATCCACGATTCTATCCTTGGTGTGGGATTTTGAAATATACCCTTCTGACGATCCCTACGTTTAGACGAAATAGATATCCAGTGGTTCTTGGTACTAAAAATTTATCGACCAGGGGTAAATATCATCATTATATTACTGATCAACATTCTTTATATTGTCTAATTGAATATGGAGAATTAAGGTTTATTGATTCCATACTGCCATAATGATCACTTTGTTGAGAAGTTCATTCCCCATGTATATACTCTTTGACTCTCGTTTCATTGCGAGCGCTGTCGATTAAGTAGTAAGCACTTTCTATCTCATCCATTTTATTATGTTAAGCGTGTCATTAAAATGATGGATCGAATTCTCGAATTAATCATTAGTAAGATTAAACTTTTCAGTCACTACATTACTTATGCAATTAATCAAGATATGAATGACTCTATTCAATCCCCTTTTGTATGTTTGCATAAGAGACAATTAACTTTAGAATTTATTAATCAATTAATCACTAACATTAAAAATGAATCTGTTCTGCAAAAAAAGGGTGTATCATTGCCAAGTACTAGGGATAGTAAGTATTTTTACTGCTATTGTACTGAACGAAAACACAAGTGAGAATAATCAAATGTATTTGAACTCAAAATTACAGAATTCTTTAGTAAAATCTGATAATCGTACAGTAAATACTTCATTTGGAAAATGTCATTCAATCGTCTCATTTTTTATTGTTTGTTCATTTTCACATCAACCATTCTTTGTTCTTGTTCTCTTTTCTTTAATCTTCTTAACTTTAGGCCGCTAAACATTTCAATTTCGATTGATAATACATACTACTTATATCTATTGACATCAGTAGCATATATCACAATATCATTTCAAACTGATATAAATGATGCTATAATATCAAATAATACAAACAATTGATTGTTACTATTTTAAATATTTACCAACTCTCTAATATAAGTTTTTTCATTGAGATCATCAACCGAATGATCTTAGACCATCGTGGAAAACCTGGAAGCAGTGAATGGCTGTTTCGTCCTATTATTAATATATCCTTTTTTTACAAATTCGATATTTCAATTTCTATCTAACTAAATACCTCATTTGATTGTTGTTTTAGTGTTTGGAAACCATAGAAACAATAATGACATTTCTACTTGAAATGACCGCTTAAGTAAGTTTATATTTACTATGAATAAAAGAAACGTATGATCATGTATTCATTTGACATTTCATGCAGTAATCCAATATTTAACATGAACTATTTTGTTCTATCATTTCAGATTTACATAATGAATTATGAATTTGGAACTTGTTTAATAAATAATACAATAAAATAATAATATTAATTGAAAATAATTTTGTTTATATTTGATTGATTGGTTTAGTGATTAAGTGCTCGCGTGCAAGACAGATAAGCACCCTGGGTTCGAATCTTACGGAGAGGCGGGATCGTAGATGTGCACTGCTGAGGAGTCCCATACTAGGACGAAATGGATGTCCAGTGCTTCCGGGCTTTCCATGGTGGTCTAGTTTCAATTGACTCATGATTTCAACTGTTGAAATTAAGATCAGTTTGTTGGTGATAAGTTTTAACAATTATAAAACTTACTGTGCAAGTTGATGGATAAAGAAGATTTAGAGAAACCATTTTACAATCACTTTACTTAGAGGGTTATCTTTAAAGCGCTTAAATGGACATTCAACATGTTGAATGCATTGCTCATGTACATGTACACGTATTTGAGAATCCTGTTTGTCTACCTAACAATTTTAGCTCCGTTTTAGTAAAGTGATAATTATTGGTTAAATCACCTATCTTCAAATGTATTGGTCAAAGGTTTGGATAAGATTTCATCTCCTTTAATTTCAGTAGTTGAATTATATCACTAACCTTCACACAAGTACGGCTCAAAGCAGAGTATATACAATTGTACATGTTTAATGAGTTACATTAGTCTAAGTTTTCTAAACTACGTCATCAGCTTTGAGATTGATTAAAACCGCACTTTTCTTCTCGTCAGTTATTACAAATATTGTCACTTAATGTTAGCGTTTAAATATATACACTGGAAACATTTAAAAGTGATTGTTGAAGGTGACTAAACAAGTCTTAAGTATTATGAGTACTTCTTTGTGTAGTTAGTCCACACAAGATGATTCACACTGCAGTTGCTTATAGTTTTACTTTGAATTATCTAACGGGGTATATTTTATCATATTATATTACTACTTAAATTGAAGCCTTATTGAGAAATATCATGTATCGTGACGAGTGGCACAAGTCATCCATATTTAAGATTCAGAAAATCAATATACTTTTTTAGAGGATAAGTTTAATAGCCTCATACACAACCCTTTTTCTCTATCCGAATTAGGATACGGCAGCAACCCCAGAAGGGATTCACCTAGAGTTTTGGTTACAAGAAACGAGATAATTTATCGTTCGATTGAAATCCAAATAGCATATACTATTGAACTCGTTCCTTGAATATATCAGGCGTTATAAATAGATATTCGAATCAACAACCTTGCTTGCTTGATTTCGATAAAGCTTTACTAGTAAACATCTAAAAATTCATAATTTCATTAAAACTGGCCACCAACTTGTCCAAAACAAGCAATCAAATCCTATAAAGTGATTATATTTTTATTGTTTGATGCTTAGTCAATGAACATAAAGAACTAAATTATTTTGAAAGACAGAAGTTCCTACGTTTGAATCCCTTAGGTGCGGGGTCGTGATTGCGCACTGTTGACAAGTCTCATACTAGGGAGAAACAGTCGTCCACTGCTTTTAGGTTTTCAATGATCGTCTGATATTGATCGATTCATGATCTCAATCACAACTCAATAATCTCCACAACTCTATACTGATTCTTTGAAAATAACAAATATTTGAACAAAAATGTTGATTACAACAACTGAACAAAGATATTTTTAATAAAATAAATACTTTATATAACCTTTACGGTATTTTCTTTTGCGGACTGATATTAAATGGAGAATTGAGGAAAATCAGAGAGCACTGGTTAGACACTTCATTTTAGAAACCTAAAAACAAACGGTTAGTGAAATGTAACGAAATTCGTATTGTAGTGAACGATATCAGTAGCACACACACCACAGTATAGTTTACTTCTATCTTACTTACTTACTTACTTACTTACGCCTGTTACTCCCAATGGAGCATAGGCTGCCGACCAGCATTCTCCAACCCACTCTGTCCTCCGCCTTCTTTTCTAGTTCCATCCAATTCTTGTTCATTTTTCTCATATCTATCTCCATTTCCCGGCGTAATGTATTCTTTGGACTTCCTCTCCTCCTTCGACCTTGAGGATTCCATGTGAGGGCTTGTCTTGTGACGCCGTTCGGTGCTTTCCTCAATGTGTGTCCTATCCACTTCCAGCGCTTCTTCCTGATTTCTTCCTCCACTGGGATCTGATTTGTTCTCTTCCACAGTAGGTTGTTGCTTATAGTGTCCGGCCAACGGATCTGAAGTATTTTGCGTAGACAACTGTTAATAAACACCTGTATCTTTTGGACGATGGATTTCGTAGTTTTCCAGGTTTCGGCCCCATACAGTAGAACTGTCTTAACATTTGTATTGAAAATTCTGACTTTGGTGTTGGTTGCTAATTGTTTTGAGTTCCAGATATTCTTCAGTTGTAGATATGCTGCTCTTGCTTTGCCAATCCGTGCCTTCACATCTGCATCAGATCCACCGTGTTCATCGATGATACTGCCCAAATATGTAAAGGTTTTTACATCTTCCAAAGCTTCTCCGTCAATTGTGATTGGATTGGTACATGTTGTGTTGTATCGAAGAATCTTGCTTTTCCCTTTGTGTATATTGAGACCTATTGCTGCTGAGGCTGCAGCTACACTGGTTGTCTTCTCCTGCATTTGTTGTTGTGTATGCGATAGAAGAGCCAGATCATCTGCGAAGTCTAGATCATCCAATTGCATCCTAGCTATCCATTGTATCCCGTGCTTCCCTTCAGATGTTGATGTCTTCATGATCCAGTCGATCACCAGGAGAAAGAGAAAGGGTGAGAGTAAGCAACCTTGCCTGACACCAGTCTTTACTTCGAACGACTTTGTCAACTGTCCTCCATGAACGACTTTGCAGTTTAATCCATCATAGGAATTCTGTATGATATTGACTATCTTCTGAGGCACGCCGTAGTGTCTAAGAAGCTTCCATAGGGTTGTTCTGTCCACGCTATCAAATGCTTTTTCGTAGTCGATGAAGTTGATATAGAGTGATGAATTCCATTCAATTGATTGTTCCACAATGATCCGTAGAGTTGCGATTTGGTCTGTACACGATCTATCCTTACGGAATCCTGCCTGTTGGTCTCGAAGTTGGGCGTCTACGGAGTCCTTCATCCTGTTTAACAATACCCTGTTGAAGACTTTTCCTGGTATTGAAAGAAGAGTGATTCCCCTGTAGTTGTCACAATTGCTGAGATCGCCTTTCTTTGGTATTTTGACTAGAAGTCCTTCTTTCCAGTCTTTTGGTACTTGTTCCTCATCCCAGATCTTTCTGAAGAGAGACTTCTATCTAGAAATTGTATTTTTGATTTTGTTTAAAAGGAAGCTGAAAACTTTCCGATTTAGCTAATTAACTCACAGAATGAGTCACTACAAAAAGAAGATATAAGATACATGGATTCGGTTATTTAATAAATGCCTACTGATGTAATGTCTCAAGTTAAAACTAAACAGATATATCCAATTCACTCGGTGTTGTTTTACTTGTATCTTCCCATTGTGATTTAGGACTGTAATTGATCAGTCTCACGTTGGAATATGTGTATCCTGTGCGGATTGCCTTGATATAGCCTTAAGTCACAAGCATTCTAGGCAAAGATGGATAGTTGCTAGCAGTGGAATACAAGACACGCGTTTCGTCCCATTTGGGACTCGTCAGCTAGATATGCCTGCATCACAGAATTGATGTTCACTCTGGTACTCGAATCCAGTACCATTCGCTTCAAACGCTATCACTTTATCCACTTAGCTACTGAGTCGTGACAGCCAATCATCCCAGGTTTCCGAACATTCTCTGATTGTTTTCAGTTTATAATGATTATTAACCTTAGAAATTAAAGCATTTTACAACTGGCATCTAAAAGATTTATGGTATAGATCGTTGAAAATGTCGAATATTTTTTTAGATCAAATCAAGTTATGATTGGGAAATCCAGAACATGAATGTAACCAAACAATTTTAATCCTAGCTAAATTACTATGTAATTAGTATACCAATTGTTATGGTAAGATTACATAGATCAGTATTGTATATACAATCAATTAGCAAACTGTAAATATAAAGCATCTGTTTAAGTAACTCTGAGAGCATTATGAATTACATTCATCAAAAAATAACTCACAGTTAAGATTTGGCAAACGGTAGAATCAGTCAGTACTATAGGGCAAAAGGGTTACATTAAAGGTACAAATAACTGAATGTTCATAACTGTATGGATCATATAGAAATGGTTAGAGTAATTAATTTCATAAACTTATTTAAAACAAAAAATGTAAGGTTTAGAATGTTGTTATTTATTCATATACCATAGTTGAACAGATTAATTACACGTGACAAGGGAGGATTACGATAAGTCAAACGATTGAGGTTGTTGGACAGAGTAGATAGATATGAAAAAGCAGATAAAGTCGTAGAACCTTTAGGATATAGTCAACATACACTTTATCGATGTGGCTACAAAAAGAAAGATATTATTGATCATTGAGTGTGAACTGAAAGACACATATTACGGATCGTTTAATTTGTAATTTCCTACTTACTATCGATTTCTACCCCAAATGCCCTGGTACAGCCAAGGGTAGGGAGAATCAGCTCTCCTTCCTGAAACGCTCTCACATGTCCACGTACACACAACCACTGACAGGGAAGTCCTACTCACTGCCTTCCTGCGACGGGGGTGTTGTTTACGAAATTGAGAGGACGAAAGGCGAACGTCCGGCGCATTAACCGGGTTCGTGGACATGGCGAATCCACCTAGCGGAATTGGAAAACCCTGATTCCAAACTAATGGTGCACATTGGCTCCAGTATCCTGATGGAACAAATGGCATATAAACCTATTGTTGGTCACCATCTACCATGGGACTGCATTTCTTGACATCGCTCCACTTCCTTGTGGACCAGAATTTTAGCTTGAAGGCTCCGAGTGTGACCCCTCAAGAGCACCCGGGCAGTATCCTAGCCCATACAGAAATCAAGTGACTTGTGTGGCGTATATCTATTTGATGCCCTTTTGTACAAATATTTTTGTGTTCAAATAAATGAATAAAACTGTTGATTTCTACTCTGAACTCATTGAATGTAAGGTGCTTATAATTGTATTGAATAAAGTATTGTTTATCCAATATTGTAGTTGTCTATATTGAATCGTGAATCTGAGATATAACATCATGATCCAGTCTATGCACAACCTACAGACCGATTGTGCAATCTAGTAAAAATATAATTTCGGTTACAGTTTTTATTATCGTATAATAGTAGTATATTGCTATAGACAGTAAATATTTTCTTATTTTACTTTACTTTCCTTACACCTGTTACTCCTCGGAGAGGAGAATAGTCCATCCACCAGCACTCACCATCCAACCCTGTCCTAAGTAATCCTTTCCAGTTCTTTCCAGCTGTTACTCATCCTTTTCATATCTACTTCTATTTACTGATGTAATGTGCTCTTTGACCTTCCTCTTTTCCATTTACGTTACTGTTATATTATTTATGAAATTTAAAAGAAAAGACAAACTAAAATTCATTTTTCAAAATAATTTCGTGGATTGGTTGAATTTAGACATTAACACCGTTGAATTCCAGCCGGCTCAACGGTCTAGTGGTTAAGAGTCCACGTGTGAGACTGACAGGTCCTAGGTTCGAATCTCGCGAAGTGGTATCGTGGGTGCGCACTGTTGAGGAGTCCCAGTGCTTCTAGGTTTTTCATAGTGGTCTAGCTTCAATTAAATCATAATCCACAAAAACGCTTCAGATATAAAAATAATTTTAGACAAGTTAAAACTAAGTCACATTCATACTAAATTAATCATGGAATACTCTTTGTTCCTGAAGTGTTGTCTATTTTTTTTCTCTCTTCAGTTAAGTGATGAAGTCCAATTTGATTGTATTCAAATCTTATGAAAACCAATTATAATCCTTAAGTATTACACACTATAATATTAACTTTAATGATCAACTTGTTTATCAGTACTTGTAAGTGTTATCATCAATAGAATTTACAATCAGATTGTTCAATGTACAAATGTTCAGCTTATTTGTTTGTTTGTTTGCTTGTTTGTTTAATTTCGATTATAAATTATATCACTTAGATAGAATCAGTATTATAATTGATAACAACAAAAACAAAATGTTTTTATTAATCTCTACCTTAATGTTTGTTATAATGAATGGTAAACATTTTAGCCACTTACCTTTTTATAAATTGATTCATAGAGATTAGTAGTGTAAAGTGTGAAGAATATACTAAAGTAAGTTATTTCTGTATATGTTAGTTATTTTAATGGAGTTTTTATTTATCTGAACTGGATGATTTGGTCATGAAGATTTCATTAGCACAAACATTAGGTAGAAGTGAAATGTTCCAATTTCTTCACATATGGTTCACAGTTTGTCTAGTAGACCTCGATATTGATTGGTTCTTGTTGACTTTAAACCTGTTATTGTTTAATTCTTTGTTTTGGTTGTATGATTTTTGATTCTATGTTTGTTCATAATTTTCCTGATTGGCTGATAAACTGTGTGGATTTCACTGTACTCATTGATTGGTGATTGAGCTGAGTGCCAAGCTTCCAAATATTCTCTGGTGTTTGTGGAATTGCCACTGTCCAAGATTTCCACACTTTTCTAGTTGAATATGTGTCTGCAGCTGTCCACGTGCATTGATATTACTTACTCACTTAATTAATTAATTACGACTGTTACTCCTCAGGGATCATCAGCCGTCAATCAGGATTCTCTAAATAGCTGTGTCCTGGACAATCCTTTCTAGTTGCTATTCGTTTAATGTCTTCATTCAATCCTCGACACAGTGTGTTCCTCAGTCTTCCGTTTTTCCGTTTCCCTTCAACTGGAAGCTGGTTTGTTCTCTCCCACAGAAGGCTCTTGCTGATGGTATCCAGCCAATGGATGTTTAGTATCCTGTGTAGACAACTATTGATAAATACTTGTATCTTGATAATGGTTGTTGTAGTTCTCCACGTTTCATCTCCGTACAAGAGAACTGCCTTGACGTTCGTATTGAAGATTCTGACTTTGGTATTGGTTGACAATTGTTTTTATTTCCATATGTTTTTCAATTGTAGGAATTCTGTCCTTGCTCTGCCAATCCTTGCCTTTACGTCTGCATCTGATCCTCCTTGTACATCGATGATGCTTCCCAGGTAGGTGGAAGAATCCACATCTTCCAGAGTTTCGCCATCAATTGTGATTGGGTTGGTGTTTTCCATGTTGTATTTGAGGATCTTGCTTTTTCCGTTGTGTATGTTGAGGCCTACTGATGCAGAGGCTGTTGCTACAATAGTTGTCTTCATCTGCATTTGTTCGTATGCATGGGATAGGAGGGTTAAGTCATCTGTGAAGAACAAATCGTCTAGTTGCATCCAAGTTGTCCATTTTATTCCATGCTTCCCCTCAGATGTGAAGGTTTTCGCAATCCAGTCGACCATCAGAATGGAAAGAAAGGGGGGGGAGTAAGCAGCCTTGTCTGATACCGGTCTTCACTTGAGGTACATCTGTTTGACATAAGTTTCAATAATTAATATTGAAAAATCGTCAATTTTTTCATAATATAGACGAATCTTCTAGTATCCCGTAGTCGCATTGATGAGTTTGATAAAAATAAAGTTTTGCATAGAAGTCTAAATAAACTGACATTCACCTGATGACCGTTTACATATAGTGTCGTTATTACTTAACGAAAACACAAGGTAAAAGTTCTCACAACATTATAAAATATATCTGGATGGTCTATGAATCTCAACTCATAAAGTATTTGTCGTGCTTAACTTATCTGTATGCCTGGAACGAAAGAGGGTTCCTGTAATGATAATATAAAGATTGATTACAACACAAGGAAGTGCAAATGACAACCGGTAGTTCCGTTCAAAATCAATAATAACTAACAACAATCAAAATCGATGATAGGAGCACACAAATATGTCAACTGCTGAATTTAAACAAAGATTCATGGAACGTAAAAAAACTTGAAACAATTGTTACAAGGTTGATGGAATCCAATTACAATTATCAATACGGTAAATATTAATAATTTATGTATTTCACAGTGAATAAACATGTGCTCAAAAATATTAGAAATGCAACTGTTTACTGAATATTAATAAGTAGTGTAGCGCAATACACAAAATTGAGTTGTGTTATCGAGTCATGACAAAGAAAGCAAAGGAACTCAATAATTTTGTTAAAAATGATTTTTTTTGTTATTTTTTTAGATGTCCATCTTAAATACGGACCCACCTGACTGTCATTTTCGTAAGAATAACTTCATCGCCTATTTTTACATGTACTTATTTTAACGTCACATTAGATTGAATGTGGCAGCAATTTGGAAGACTCTCCCAGTCTCCCACATTGTACGAGCATTCCATGTACCTAAATAAATGGTTGCTCTGGTTTTCAGAAGAGGCATCAGTTTTGTGACTTCCGAATGAACTCTGCTTTTATCAGGAGGCGTCATAACTCTTCTAAATGAAGACCCTCTAACTCCCAGGGCAGAGTTTAAGTGGTTTGAATAATTTTTTCTGGTTAACGTTTTTTTTAGCGAGTTAGTTTTCTACGGGACGGGTTCGCTAATCCCATGCCAAACCCTCCTCCTTTGTCCGAGCTTGGGACCGGCAGTAGCTCAAGAGGGGATCCAGGCAGAGTTAGGTTGAATATGGACTTATATTAATATTTCTTATTGAGTGTCTGAAGTAATAATCATGGTTCTATGGAATGAAAGTAATTGTCAATTAAGGCGTAAGAACCAACTTTTGCTTAAGTGTGCAGTGAATCCTTACAGTATTCAAGTATACAAATAACTGAAAGGGAATCCTTAATGTTATCATATGTTAAATCAGATTGACTCTTTAAACTTCTTTATTAATGAAATGTTGATATACTACTGTAATAATTAAACTCAATGAATGATTCTAAATCTTGCTTTTCTCCACAAAAATAAAACATTTTTAACAATCTAATTTACTACCAATCCGAAACCAAGAGTTATTGGATGAATATTGTATTATGATTTGTGATTGCGTAATAATATATACGTAAGGTATCACAAGGAACTCAAGTAGGAAGCCATAGCCAATGGATTCTATCCAATTCAGAGTGAAACAGTAACACTAAGTTAATTTTATGTTAGAAATTGACTGAAGTTATAGAAGTGGACAATTAAATTTCATTTGATTAGTCGAAAGTTATTGCCTTTAACACAAGACCTAACAATTTTGTGTTCGATTTTGTCTAAGGTTGTGGTTATATACTTGCATAATGTTCTTATCTAGAAAAAGACATTCATCTAGTGTTAACCTTGCTTGAATAACTCACTAAGAGATATAAATTAAAATATTATTTATAAATTTGTTATATTTACTGTAGTTTAGGTTTTCATGTTAATCAGAGTCTAACAGTTGAATTCATGAGTTGATTAAAGCTAGATCACCATGGAAAACCTAGAAGCAATGGGCGACCATTTCGTCCTAGTATGGGACTCCTCAGCAGTGCGCATCCACGATCCCTCCTGCGGGATTCGAATCCAGGACCTATCAGTCTCGGTCTCGAACACTTAACTGAAATTTACTTTGAAAATAAGTGAACGTTCATAAAAGTAAACAAGTTGATGTTTGGACGAGAATGACTGATTGTTTGCTAATTCAGACTAGTAGATAGTCTGACAGGTACTAGATAAGTTATATATTCCCTTACACTTAACATTCTTGTGACTGTTGTAGGTTTTTAGTTCTAGTCAGGCCAGTCACGTTTTCTTGATCTGAGCTGTATTGAAGTCCTATGGAATCGACACTGGGAGAGTATCTAGTGTAGATATTCGTCTAAAGCAAATTAGCATCCAATTCGTGTCAGAGGAAGAAAACTGAGAGTTATACCACAAGTTAAATAAGATTACTTCAATTTACACAGCACGAAATGTTGTTAAAATCACTATTTAAAAAAAATCTGTTTCTATATCAAGTAACATTTTACAAAATACTCTGGTTATTATGCATTGACTTATAAGTAATAGAAAAGCGTTTAATTTTGATTTGGTTAAGCAATCTGAATGTTAGTTAGTTTTACAAATAGTCACGTGCTACGTATGTTAGAACACCGTTTACTACGATGCACAATGATGACTAGTGTTGGAGACGGTTGGGAGAAATTTAGAAGCGGCCAAACCAAAACGTAGCATCAGTCCTTGAGGTCACTAACTTCTAATCATAGCCATGTTGATAGATGCAGACTACTTGGTTGGGGTCCGCGCGACTATTCTAACCAATGGTTGGAGACTCTAAGTGACATGGCTCAGAATCGATCACACTGGCGTAGGTATATACACTCTTTGTCTTTCCTTAAACTATGAGATTAAAATCGCTTCATATCTTTCTTTCTACCAACTATTTCTTTCTCCCTGTACTATATCCTTATACACAATCTTTCTTTTATATATTACTACCATTGAAATAACTGCTTCGATGAGATTGGTGTTCATCTTGTTGTGCTAATGAGGTATGGCAACTTGAAACGATGTATATCTGTGCCTGATCCTACATTTTAGCTAACTGATTGACTGACTGATAAATAGTCACTTAAATTCTCGTATAAACTATTGAAACATTTTTATAAATATTCCTTTTTTATTTCTAGTTTGTGAACTTTGTACTTCAACAGTAAATGCTACTAAGTACATATTGGACAATGAACCATTTATACCTAAAATACTTAAGAATTTTATGCCAATTTGTTATATGTTACCAAAGTTACAATATCGAAAAATTGTATGTTTTAATCAGATCAATTAAATTTAATAGATTTTTTATTTCTAGTTGTTAAGGTATATAAACAAATCGTCTTTGAATTTTTGACCGAGTTTTGTTCTCTGAACTGGATGGTTTGGTCGTGGAGCTATCATAGATCCTCTGAACGACATCATCAGCAAAGGTCTACCTGAGGTTTGTACTGATGATGTTCAGAGGAACTATGAAAGCTCCACGACCAAACTATCCAGCTCAGAAAACAAAACTCCATCAAAATCATCCACTTGAGCTACAAATCTTCTCTACCATTTTTAAGTTTACTTCATTTCATAATGTTAAATTCATAAAGTTAAATTATTCGAGAATATTAGTTATATGGGGGTCTGAAGGAGGTTGTTGAATTTCATTATTAATGTTTTGAATTCACTTTAATTATACCATTGTGGAAAGTTTGGAAACACTGGACAGTTGTTTTGTTCTAGTATGAGATTCCTTAATAGTGAACACCCACGACCCAATCATAGTGTGTCAAACTCAAAATCCTAAAATGTGAATTCAGGTACTCAACCTTTAATTCATTGAGTTAATATTCAATGGTTTGAATTTCTAACTACAGAAGTTAAACACTTGTCGTAAGACCTGAAGATCTTCGGCTTAATACCTTACCAGGTAGCGGGCATATACTACTGAGAAGCCTCGTACTGGGGTGAAACGACTATCAGATGATTCCTAGTCATCAGTTTCCGACTTGATTAGGTTAGTCTGTGATGTGAAATATACAATTTTAGAGTAGCTCTACCAGAATGCATAAACATTGGCTACTGGTTTAGTCGTTAAAGAACACCAATCGAAATATATAAGACCTGAAAATATTGAGGCTTATTATGAAGAAGAAGAACAACAACAACGAACAGTCAGTCAGACTACAAAATCTGGATAGAATTCAGTCAATGCCCTAGACTAGATAAACATGAAATTGTATATGATTTAATCGTGATTATTCAATGTAACTATTCGTTATTATTAAAACTTATTCATTTGTTTTTTGTGTCTCATTATAAACATTAATTTTATTCGGTGTAGTGTTATCATCTTGTAGACGGTGGTGCAGTTGATATAATTCATGAATTGGTGAATAAAATTGATGAAAACAATTTTTGTTTTGTAAGTAAACACTTATTTTTCTTTATTGTTAATATCAATAAAACTAACTATCAATGGTTTCATTTTTCTTTTACTCTTGTGAATATTGTTCAATGGTCTTAATTAGACCATTATTGAAAATCAACAAGACCTAGAAAGCTGTTTCATCCTAGTGTGGGGCTCTTCAGTAATGTACATTCAAAACCCCAACACAGAGGACATAACTAAAGAACATTCAAGTCTCATGGGAACCATTAAGTTGGTAACCAGTGGTTTATATCTCTAGCTTGTTATCGTTATGATGAAAATAACGGGATATATAATAAAATGATTAATAAAGTTATTGGATGAATGTAGGTAGGATTATATAACACATGAAAATGTTTCAGGGTAACTGTTTATGGTAGGAAAAAAGAAGAATTTATTACAATTTTCTTCTCTTTATGTTTTAGACCAGAGATGTAGGTAATGTTCCGTATTTGTCAATTATTTGGAGTTTTAATTCATTGAGTCGCAAGTTGGAAGATTAATCCGGTTTAGGAATCCGGGCGCCAAACATTTGTGGTATGTTTTTCCTACCTTGACGTGGTGGTCGGGCTTGCTTATCTTGATGAACCAATCGAGCTATACTGGCTAGAACAATTGTTTCTCAACGTTCTACCATGCCAGATAGGTCGGTTGAAAAACGGTAAAATTAAAAGCAATAGACCAAAGGTCCTAAAGCAAAGTCGTACTGCTGACTGCACAGAGGTGTGACGGCAGTAAGGTGTTTCCTTCAAACAACCAGCATAACAGCGATGCTACCTTTCCACAAGGAGGAGTGGTGTTAGAAAAGGTCGACCCTAAAAATGCACATCTCGCGTTATCCCACGGATATCCGTCTCCGACGGTGAGGTCCCAACAAGTATGGAGCTAACACGTAAATTACTCACAAAAATGTCGTGTGTGACCGACTTCAAGCAGTTGTCACTTGGTCACTGCGGTCACGCTCTCAGGTCACTAAGATCACCCCTAACCCAATTTCCTTTTCAGGTATCTCCAGAAGAACCTTTCCACGGGGTGGGCAACCAGGAAGTGATAACTGCCCTCATACCTTTAACAGCACTCAAGACCACTGACTGACTGACTATGTTGTCCCATTAAATTATATTATTACATATGTGTATATTGTTGAACTTGAGACAAGCTTTATTTCAGTCATGTTTATCATATTTTCAATTATTTTTTAATCTGAACACATGATTACTATTAAAACTTGTGGACTTGCTTCAATCAATATAGGACGTGACATTGCCGCCAATTAGTGAACAGTGATTACTTTTACCGATTAAGTATCTTGCCTATTTATTGCACTTCATTTTTACAATCATTTGATGAACGTGTTATAACTTGTGGTCTTGGTTTCTATTAATGCATAACGTAGAGATACCACCAATTAGAGATCAGTGAATTATCGACCGAACCAATGACGTATAAAACCCGTACGAGTAGTCTAGATTCCTTATCACTCCTTCTTCTTATCTAGCCCTGTTTGTTGAGTCCAGAACACCGATCTCAACCTCCACAATCTGAATCATGTATTTCAAACAAACTGGGTTTATATACAAACCAAATAGACTATATCGTACCATACAATAGAAAATAACATTTGTACAAGATCTAGCCAAAAAGTGGCTGTGAACGTGGGGGATTATAATTAGCAGACTGGGCATAACTCAAGAGCGGTTTATAGTATAATAATAGTCTATGCGTGAAAATAAAGCTTTTAACGAGCGAAACCTAAATATGCACAGGTTAGCTACTTAACAACTATACCATAAGTATATATGTATAGTATGAGTTCATAAATGAATCCTAACAGTTACCATTCATTATTCTCGTTGGGATATAACAATTACGTTTCGAAATAATAAAATATATCAATTCTATTCAATTGTAGCATATTGGATTCTGTCACAACACAATCCCGTGCCCAAGTTTTCAAAACAATTTTGACCTGTAAGTTGTACAAAGATTTGTTTATTTATCTGATGATTGATTGAGATCCCTTACATCTTAAATCCTTTACTTGCTCATTAGCTTGAATTTTACTTTCCAATTTACTTTTAATACCGAATTCACTTTCTCATAGAACTAGGTATTCAACTCCTGATTTTACACTGTCTAATGAAAGCTGTATCACCAGTGCTTAGATTATTAAATATTCTGAAGATATACCGAAATCGTACCTTAAAAAGAGTTAAATTCTCAAGAAGAAATCGTTCGAGCCAATAAGTCTCAATACCAACTAAAAATTAACTTTGAAACAATAATGAAAACCACTTAGGTTTATTCTGGGTGTCTTTGGTAGTTACTAACAGATTTATTCAGTATAGTAAAGCTTAGAAGTATGTGCTTGAATGTATAGTGTTAAGATGTTTGGACGTAATCTAAAACGGCTGTATGATAGTTTATAAGCATTATAAGTGGTTGTTAGCGAACAGTAAAAAAATGATTTTTTGATATACATTTCGTGTTAGTTTTTACTCATCAACAAGACGTATCCACAACATTGGGGGAACTGACGCCTTCCTATGTGGTTTGAACCTGTATCACTCTGAGTTGTATTGTTACTGAGTTATAATGTCATGTTTTTCCAATGGTTGACGGTAATTGAATTTTTCTAGATCAAGTTGTAATGTGTCTACTACTCTAAATGACTTTATACCATGTTTTGATGTTAGAACACCGGTTCCCTCAGCTTTACTGGTATTTCGTGTTGTTATTTGCCAGGTACCATAGGACCTAGATTAAATAAAATGTTTCGTCAGTAATGTCTGATCAAATCCTCCATGTCATTTATGAAAATTCATAATAAATATGAATTACTATTGATTACAATTTAAGTATGTTTAAAGTTATTACATTTTCAATTTCAGATAACGACTTGTCTACTTAGATAAATTTTACTCTGTTGAATTCATACAACAAGAAGATGGATCTTTTGAAATGATGGAAATACACTTCGTAATATATTGACAATTATTTCAATCTACTTTTGTTTTTTCTTATTTCATGGGGTTTATTTATCATAAGACAGATAATACAAATCCTTATTTGCATCTTTAAGGATAGAAAACGTAAGTATAGGTATCAGTGATAAAATGGTTACATAATAGGAGATTGATATATTGAAATTAGATTCAAAAGACATGACAAAACTACACGTCTTTCTATTGGGTACTAAACCGTTTTTTGATAATTTTGTGATTTCAATAGTTGTAATCATGAGTCAATTGAAGCTAAACCACCATGGAAAGCCTGGGAGCACTGGACGGCCGTTTCGTCCTAGTATGGGACTTCTCAGCAGTGTGCATCCACGATCTCGCCTCGCGAGATCCGAACCCAGGACCTATCGGTCTCGCGCGTGAGCACTTAAATACTAGACCACTGAGTCGGCATCCAACGGTGTTAATGTCTAACTTCAACTAAACCATGAAATTGCGCCACCGTTACCATTGTCTTTAGTGAGCTGATATCTTACAACAGACCTGGTTGAACTCCACTGGTCATGGCTCCTCATTAGAACTTCAGGAGTGTCTCATGAAGTCAGTCACTAATGAATTGCTTCAAGATAATTTTGTAATTATTAGAAAGACTGATTATATTCGATAATAAGTAATGTTAAACATAGATGTAGTATGAAAGTCGTTTACAAACATTATTTGCATAGCTTTTATATGTTTAGATCATCAAGATGATTCAAGAAGTTTCCTGCTAGGAGACCTTGCCAAGATGAAAGAATAACATAGGTTTTAACAAACTGGAAAACCCAACTAAATGGTTATGAACATCACTCGTGTAATAAGGATGAAATTACGTGAATTAGTTTACTTAACTCAATGAGCGTACAGCAACAAATTGCACATCTACGATCCAGTACCAAAGGGACTCGAATCTAGGACCTCTTGTCTCATGCTCAGTCGGTTAACTTCTAGACGGATGAGTTCTGAAGAGCTAGAGGAAGGAGAGTGAGTACAATTGAAATATTTTAGTAAGTGAAAATAAGTGAATCAATAGTATATGCAATAGAAGAGACATTTCAATTAAAGAATACAACCAACAAGAATTCTTTGAGTGAAAAGGGTTCCTCTAACTTTTATAAAGAATGTAAAAAAAAGCTGCATCAGGACTGTCACTGACTTCTATTCTAAGTCATATCTAATATTAATTCAACCCAGAGTTACACCATCTCTAAGGCTTCAGCCATGGAGCCCTGATGGACCAATAGATAACAATCCTATATAGTTTACTTTTATATTAAGATAATTTTCCACAAACGTCTTACTAAAATAATAATCAAGTTGTTATTAATACCCACTTTTAAGATATGATATCGTAAAGTTCAACGAAGGGATTAATTAAGTTTGAAGAGAGAACGAATGGACCACTGGTTATTCAATAAAAAACAATCGTTCTATCTTCGTGAAAAAAAAAACATTAAATTACAATAAAGTGAATTAATTATTCACTAGGTGTGTGTGTGTGTGTGAATGTACACCTATATGAAGTTACCAACTACAGTTCAAATCATGAGATGGAAAAGATTTGTACCTCAGGTTTAAAATCAAAAAGAATCAATCAACATCGAGGTCTACAGAACAATCTGTGAATCATATGTGAAAAAATTCGAACACTTCAATTCTATCTCAAGTTTATGCTGATGATGTTGTTCAGAATAACGATGAAAGCTCTACGACCAAATCATCCAGCTCAAAAAACAAAAATCCATCAAAAACGGTTCAAATTACCCTTTAAAAATTTACTTGTTTTACAATAATTTATCAACTAATCTTAGTTTCGGATAGAAATTACCTTCAGATTATATAAAATTCCATAGAAGGCAAATAATTTAATCAATAAGTTATTATACATAAAAGAACTCAACATAAGTCAAAAACATATTTGTCATATATGCAAAGAAGAGTAGAATAACCAACTTCCTTTTCTAGATATATTGATTAGTAGAAGAGATGATGGTTTCATCAAGCGTTTAGCATATAGAAAGCCGATATGGACAGGGTAATATCTTAATTTCCATAGTCATTGCCTAATTTATTACAAACGTGGATTAATAAAGAGCTTATTCAATAGAATCAATTATATTTGTACTAGAGATACTACAAAAGTAAAGACGTAGTTTTTGACTGAAACATTAACGAATAATGGTTTTCCACTGACGATCATAAACTACTGGGAGGGTTGCAATACGATTAGATATATGACACTTCTGGCACCCAAAAAGGGAGTTAACATTATCTTGCCATTTAGACGCCATTCAAATATTCTCATGTTGAAACGGTGATTTAAATTAGCCATTAAAAGGACATTTTATGCAGCCCAAGGTTTATGTTTCATTACGATCCTGAACAGCACGCAAGCGATTGTATCATATTCGATTGTGTGCGGAAACACGTACATGAGAAGGAGCAATCATGAAATGAAAGTAAGGGTGGCTAAACACATGCCTAAATGGCTGCAAAAACAAATGAATTCTGATGATCGAATAACGTCTCGGGATTGAAAAACATCTTCCTCCACTGCAAAACATTAGGTTGAGACCAGTCATAAGGTTGATATTAAGTCAACCTTTGTAGTTTTGTACAAAACTGTATACTCAGGTTTATTGAAGAATTAGTTATACAGAAATTGAAGCCCCCTTTATGTGTTCAAAAACAATTTGTTCTTACCCTCAACCTACCCTGTTAACACTGACTTATTATCCAGAGTGGTTTTCACATTGATTTTGTGTACTTGTTCATTACCTTTAATCTGTCTAGTTGAACTTTTAGTTTTCGTATAAAAATGTCTTGAGAAGTACTTGTGTGGTCAAACTGTTCTAAATGTGTTGCTCAAATATATTGAGTAATTCTGATAACCTTCATCTTCTTATTTCATTACCAAACATTTTAAATCGATTAGTTGATTATACTTCCTTAATTCTCATTCTCAAAAATCTCTATTATAACTTCAATTCATATATTTTTATTAAACATGAATAAACTACTGAATAACTTAATTGGAGTAATATATATTGAACGTTGACAAATTTCAATAGTTGAAATCATGAGTCAATTGAAGCTAGACCACCATGGAAAACGTGGAAGCGCTTGAAGGCTGTTTCATCCTACTGTGTGACTCCTCAGCAGGGTACATCCACGATCCCGCCTCGCGAGATTCAAACCCAGGACCCGCGAACGCTTAACCTCATGACCACTGAGCCGGCTGGCATCCAATGGTGTTAATGTCCAACTTCAACCAATCCACGAAATTACATAATTGTCTTCAATGTTAAAACATTAAAACATTACAGTTATTTCATGCTAGCAAGTATTAACTGACACAATGCCTTACTTTAGACCTTTATGTTAATTAACTTTAGCCAGGATATGATTCGACTATTTTTTCTCTTTTCTTACCTTTTATTCAAGTTTAACACTAATTACAAATTCTCAGATTTTCTAGTGGTTAAGCGCTCGCGTGCGAAACTGGTTGGTCCTGGATTCGTATCTTACGATGCGGGATCGTGGATGGGCACTGCCTAGGAGTCTCACAGTAGGTTTTTCATGGTGACCTAGTTTCTATCGACTCATGATCTCAACTATTGAAATGACTATAATATCCACAAAAAAGCCTTTTGATATTGACCAATTTGTTGAATTCACTATAAACTGATATAAATCATAATTATTCAATAGTTTTATAAAAGAATATCATAGATTATGTATCATAGAATCATGCATGTATATATGAACTTTGATACATAAAGAGAAGGCTTAAATAATTTTATTTTTTTGAAACTGTTCAAGATAGATAACAACAGAAATGCTTAGATCAAAGTATTTCAATCATTAGTACTATTACTACTATTATCATTACTACTAATATTACTATTAATGGCATCACTATTATTATTACTATTACTATGATCATTATTATTTTAAGTATTATTTATTCTATGCCACTCTATGATTAGTCCATTCTATTTCATTTAAGATAAAAGGATTTAAACAACTGTTTGATTACTAGGTGAACTATTATAGATAGAAAGATAGATAAATACTTGGAGAGAGATACTTGGAGTTTCTAAATAAACATACAGTTGAGATAATGTTCGCTAAAATCTTTCTCCTAATATTTCTATTTGGTAAGAGGGCTTTGTGTTTGTTGGTTTGCTTGTTTGTTTTGTTTTTCTTTTGTACTATTCAATAATAATTATTTAGGTTTGAAGAATACAGTTTACGGAGAACCTATTGAGGTATGTATTGTTATTATATAATAATGATATTATTCTCTTGAAAACAATTGTATAGTTTGTTATTGGTATGAGATCTACAGTTAGCTGTTGACGGTATCGTATGATTGTTATGAACTATATATATACATGTTATGAGTGAAAAATATGAATTATTGAATAAGTGATTTAAAAGTCATGTATTCTTTAAGAGATGTAAAGACATTTTTTTGGTTAAATAGTAGGTTCAGATCAATCAGGAGTAGGAACATTTTTTAAACACATAAACATTGGTACAAGGAAGCACCAGATACATATGCGCCACACAAATCTCATTCGATTTGTGTGAGGGCTGGTATATTGTCCGGGTGCCCAAACCGAAACAGGTGGTCTTCTTAGGAGGACCACACAACCGGAGGCTTTGACCTTAAGGTCTGATCCACAAGACAGTGGAGCAAAGTAAGGAGATGCAGTCCTATTGTAGCCGGTGACCAATAATTGATTCATATGCTATTTTTTCCCTCAGGATACCGGAGCCCATGTTCACCATTAGTTTGAAATCAGGGTTTTCCAACTCTTTTAGGTGGACTCTCCATGTCCATCAATACGGTTAAAGATCAGAACATTTTCCTTTCACCCTTTCAATTTCGTAAACGACCTCCTCACTGCGAGAGGACAGTAAGTAGGACTTCCCTGACAGTGGTTGTATATGCGTGGCCATGTGAGAGCATTTCGAGAAAGAGAGCGGACTCTCCCCACTTTCGGCAGTACCAGGATATTTGGGGGCTAGAACAAGATATATGTTTAATGTTCAATGCTTTTCAATATCTTGTTTTTCTAGTTTATTATTAGAATGTAACAAACTATCCTTAAATTGAATTCATCACCAGAAATTTTTTTTGAATATAAATATCTTTTGTTTAAGATTAACAAGTTCATCTAATCTTTTAACAGTATGTACAGATAGTCTTCGTTTAAGAAATCTAAAGCAATCAGTGCCTTTAATTAATTTCAATAGCGTAATAAGAAGATAAAGATTATCAGAACTATATGATGATATAATGCGCTAATACAGCATCATATAGTTCTGATAAACTTCGTCATCTTCTTATTACACTATCGAAATAGCTTTTAGTTAAGATAGATTAGTACATCATATAGTTTATTATCAATTTTGAGACGACTAGATAACAGGACTTTGTTGAATATTATTATTATTATTAGTGGCTTTATTCAATATTATATTTTTGGTACAATATAGAATTCTCAGCACAAAGTATTTCAACAAATTTCCCCTTCTTATTTCCTGATCAGTTCTTGCGATAAATATTGAGTGGTCGCCAGTTAGATGTTAGCGGTTCAAGAATCGACATCTGATAAATGTATACTGCCAGTAACCATGATGTCTCTGATTGAGCTCTTTTGTAACTTGTACAGCGAAATGTCGTAAACTTTTCACAAACGCACCCGAATAGGTTATGAGACTAATAGGCATAATGATGTGTTAAAACAAACAAGAAAACAGATAACTTGTTGAAATATCCAGATGGTAGGAACAGGTTGCTCAGGTATTCAAACAGGCCGCCTAGCAATGAATTGGTTATTCTTTTTAAAATTTCATATACTCATTGTCCTCAGTTTGAATGAATGTACTTTATACAAGAGAACTGTTTGTATGTATCCAAGTCCTATGAATTCCTAATTCAGCAACCAACAAAAACATTGGATATATTCAATTCAATTTAATATGTAAAATAGTGTTAATAGATGATATCTGAATCATTCCTGGAAGTGTTATATACTTTAAACTGGATGCATTAGCTTACAGAACACAATACCTAGAATATCCTTATTCTCTATCATTTAAATTCTAAAATGTAAAATCAATTCCTGACTTTAGAAGTGCTCCCTAAGGAAAAAATCCACTCTTAGAAAGAGGAATAAAATCATAATATTATTCACAAAGTTAGCTGTAAATATATTGATCATGATCACTTAAGTTTATTTAATCAATAATCTCCATGGAAATATCATGAAAATCAACAGGTATTATTCAAAGCTCATTTAAAGTTTTACTTGAATTTCAGAGTTCTGTAAATGATTTTGAACAATTAGAATGTCAATTAAGTGAGTTATTAAGATTTAAATTTATTGAAACTTATGATAGACTGTATTTACTTACTTACTCCTGTTACTCCTCGTAGAGGAGTATAGGCCACTTACCAGCATTCTCCATCTAACCCTATCCTAGGCAATCCTTTCCAGTTGTTATTCATCCTTTTCATATCTGCTTCTATTTCCCGACGTAATGTGTTATGATAGACAGTACGCTTGGATAAATTTGCTTATAAACTAAACCGAAATCATAATTACTACATGTATTTACAAAATAGAACCAGCTAATGACGTTGTTGGTTTTTTTAATTTAAGAAGTTTGCTTCTATGTGAGGGGTAAATTATGTTTATGTTGTCCAGAACAACAATGAAAACTTCATAACCAAATAGTTTAGCTCAATGAAGTTAACAACATCAAATGTATCCATCTGACCTAAACGTTTTCTTCACTACACTATAACTAGTTTATATTCAATACAAAATTATTGATGAATCAAAGACAAGTTTATTTGATCTATAAATCATATATCATAACAATGGGCTATTGATCAAAACGTTTACTGAAAAATAAAGATACCCTTCTTTTAATTAACATTTTATATATTACTAAGAATCATAAATAAGTGTTGGAGATTGTTTCAAAAATGATACTGTACCATATTTTTTTTAATATTTTTTATTCCAAGTTTGTGAAACATGTGTTATGAATGTTCGTGGTATACGATGGTTACTTCTGCAAAGTTATACACGAAAGATTGCAGCTGAATTATTAACTGTAATGTGTAATTTCCTTCCATATAAAAAACCTCGTGCTCAAGTAGGTTTAACATTTTGTCTATACTTCTATTTTCAATCTAAATCATGATAATGTAAAATGGTGTAGTTTTCTTTTTGTGTGAAAGTTATTGAATTGGATTTTCTAAGATAGAATTACAAAAGTTAATTTCAACTACTTACTATGCCTTTTACTAAATGATATCCATTAACCTAAATAATTTATGTCTATGTGAATTACAGGGTTACAGCTTACATTAGTAAAGTTGTAGTGAACGAGAACACCAGTGATGGAAAATCGAATATATTTGAATACACAATTGCAGAATGTCTTATTAAAATCTGAGAATCATACAATAACTACTTAATTTGCAATAGATTGTCTCAGAATTGACTGTTCCTTCGTTTCTACACTAATCACTCTCTGTTCTCATTCTGTTTTTTCTCCGATCTTCTTAACCTTCTGCTGCCAGGTATTTCACATTTGATTGACGATATATACTATTTATATATGTTGACATCAATAGATCACACACCACAGTCTGTGGTATACACGATATGATCAAATTACAGTGTTAAGCATTGATTGTTCTAGATTTAGAGAAAGTTATTGTTTTTCTAGAGCTTTCTATATAGTAAGACGAATAATACATTTTGATTAATAATTTCTAATCAATTTCTATGTGAACCTTCATTCATGGTTATTTAATCATCCTTCTTAGTTAAACATCAAGTGACCGAATTCAGGTATTCACTTGTGAGATTAGAAATCTTCATATTTTTTTGGTTAAGATTCGTGTATTTTAGAAGGTTGTATTGCTACATGATATTGCAATATGACAACCAGAAATTCAACAGCCTCCTTTATATGATGTCTGTTGGTAGATAATGACAAGCATGGCTAAAGGTGAAAACTCTGATAAGTGATTTTTATTATAGTAAAATTTAAAACTAATTAAATATGTGATTGAGATCATGAATTGATTAATGTTAGACCACCATTAGAAACCTGTAAACACTGGAGTTCACCCATGCCTGGTGTGAGGCAGTTACTCACTGAATACAACGGAGAATGGTTGCGCAATATTGTGAATTGGTTGATGTTAGACGGTAACAACGTCGTATGCCCATTCAGTGGTTTGAAGGTTAAGAATTCGCGCGCGTGGTCAAAGGTCCTTATTTCGAGTCCTTTTGATGTGAGATTATGGATGAGGTTTACTGAGGAGTCCCGTACTATTACGAAACGGCTGTCGAGTGCTTTCAGGTTTTTAATGGTGGTATAGCTTACATCAACTCACGAATTCAACTACTAAAATACATAAGTACCTAACAATGGAACAAACCTTTATGCTCATGATATCTTAGAATATACAATTGAAATATCTCACAATTTATTAAAACAAATTAATCTAATTTTTACATTTACTTATATATTCAGTGTAAACGTTTCTTTAAAGGACCATTTGAAGGTCTGGTTCATGATTTTGTTGTAAACATGAGTGTTTATGAACCATGTCAAGTAAGTTTTTGGTTAAAGGAAGAAAATTTTTTGTAAATCTTATAATTAATCAATAATTTTTTTTATTTTTTGATATTATAAAATTATTTTAACTTCAATCAGGAAAAAATATAGGATTATATAACTATACTAAATGTCAGTATAGGGTTATGGAGATTATCAGGTATTTGATTAGGATAATGAGCCGATTGATGTTAGACCACCGTTGAAAACCTGGAAGCACTAGACAGCCGTTTCGTTCTAGTGTGGGACTCCTCAGCAAAGCGCATTCACGATCCCGCTCGCAGGGTTCGAACACAGGGCCTTCAGTCTCGCGCGTGAACACTTAACATCTAAACCACTGAGCCGGCATTCAACGGCGCTAATGTCTAACCTCAAAAAATCCACGAAATTGCACGACCATCTTCCATTGTATCTGACAATGATTAGCTCCACTGGTCATGGCTTCTCAATAGAACTCCGAGAATTCCCTTACGAACCTAGTCACAATCAATACACTAGATGTAATTTTTAGATACATAATTTCTTGTAGAATTTGATTGTTTATAGTTGGTGACTAGAAAGTCATGTAATAGATTGGAAGTAGTCAAGTAATATATTACTTATTACTGTGTTCAAGACATTAATCAGTAGGAATCATATTGTTACGTAATTTATATCACAGACTGAATTTATCCAAAACATTGTTAAAAATCAAGGGGTAATGGACAGTTTTTTTGTCCTAGTATGAGATTTCGTCAATCGGCACAGACGATATTACTGAGGTTTGAAAATAGAACTTACCATTCTTGAGATGAGTAAATCACATCAAGACCATATAGTTGAAATCTTATCACACAAATATTTAACGTTAGTTAATTCTTCAAACTGAGTATTATCTGTATTCCCGGTGAGATTATAATATATGGACAACCTTTCAGCGACGCCGAAGTGATCTTGGGAGTGTCTAACTACGTAATAGGGCTAAATAAGGGTTATAAAGCAGTTTGAAGAATAAGAATTATAGTTTAAAGTTTATGGTTGGGATTAGGAATTAGATATACGGTTTTTCATCACGAAGTGACACCAGCTTAAATGCCAAGACACTATTTGGCCAATTGGGTGGGTAGATTTCTCTCCAAAATTCAAGACCTGTTATCGTAAATCTGATTCGTCCGTCCATAAATTAAAGTCTCGCCACAATACTTCTGATATGCTTAAACTCCATTGATCACATCTTCTTATTGAAAATCCAGGAATTCCACCCAGAGTTAGTCATCAATATATAAATGATTATCCGTTAAAAGCATGAGAGATGAGTGAAAACTGTTCAGTCTATTGTATACATTGAAAATTAATTTTAACTAGACAAAATTATCATTAAAGTGTTATTAGAAATATGTAATTTGTGTTTTTTTTCGGTACACACTTCTTGAAGTATCTTGGACTTTGTGAAACAGTTCAACAAGAATTGATGACAGGCCTAGATGATTCATTCTGTAAGTTACTTTATATACGTATGTATATATAAGTTATTATCATCTAACAAAATGGAGCGATGGTTTAGTATTGATAGGAAATGGAAGTTCGAAGCACCACAAATCTACTGCATTGTTGTCAATTAAGCACTGTTGCATTGAACAAAACACCCGTGGGGAATAATCGGATATACTGAACAATAAATTACAGAACTAGTTAGTAAAATCTAACAACCATATAGTTAATGCTCAATTTGCAAAATGTCCATCAATTGTCTCAAACGACTTAGACTTCCTTTGTTCTTGCATTTTCATACAAATTGCGTTCTGTTTTCATTCTTTACTGTTAAATGTTCTTGTCTCTCCGCTGCCAGACATTCTGTTTATTACTAACATCATATACTACTCATGTCTACATAAGTAGCACACACCACACTATCACTAACCTTCACACAAACAGTATACCTGTAGACCCAACTTCATACGCCTAAACTTGGCAAACAATTTAAATGTACAAACCATTGAGAACTGAATATCTCGACAAAGAGAACTCGAAAGGCGTACGGTTAATACAGTATCATTTTATCAATCATTTATAATTCAGTGATTCATATTATCCAGTTCTAATCATTTCACAGTGTCAGGTGACAAATAACCAGTTTGATTTTCTACAATAGCTTCATAGATGATATGTTTTCTCGTTAAAGCTTTGTAATATTTAGTACAGAAGTATAATCTTCCTCTGAATATTCGTTTTTCATAATCAAATAATAAAATGGTTTACTATATATATAAAATAATACCGTTTTTCCATTGAATAAAACATCTTCTTCTAACCCATTAGCCTATCAGAAAACGTAGATAGGAAGCAGAATATTTCTGTGTTATACTCGGTTCATTCATGCATAAAGATTTAAACAGTGATATACCTGAAACGTCTGACCACGCAGTACATCAAATAAGAAGTCATACTTTAAATACAACCATAATGTACGTGGTAAAGGACGAAGCAAACAGTACATAATTAATTAGCAATAACTAAGGGATAGTAACTTATAACAACAATTGATTGGTTCACTTGAAGCCTACAATAAGAAGAATATAGAAATGCAACAATACGGCTATCTACTAGTCACATAATAGAAATATAGATAATAATAATAATGATCCAATGAATGGCTTCAAAAGTTCCAACTTTTCTAATATTCTTCCTGTAATAGAAGTCCATGTATGCGATGCTGACCTTCTCGACTTTCATGATAAGATAAATTTTAATTCCCATACAAATTAAGAAACTGTAATATGGATAATCATTTGTCCTGAAATTTGTTTAAATACAACACCAAATGTTATTTATTCGGTTAAAATCTACCGTTGGTTTCTGGAAACTTCTATAAAATTGCAACAGCTAATAGTAATAATAATAATAATAATAGTGATGTCAATGTAGCTTATCGAATATATACCGATTATAATAGTATAATTTATGAATCTATGTAAGCTAAACCACCATCAAAACCTTAAAAGTACACTAGACAGCCATTTCGTCCTCAGCAGTGCGTATCGACAACCTCCAATCAAAGGGACTCGGACCCAGGATCTTTTGTCTCGCGCTTGGACGCCTAACCTCTAAATCACTGAGCAGGCATCCAACGGTGTTAATGTCTAACTACAGTCGATCCATGATCTTGCACAACCCTTCACATATTGTCTGAATTGGATACCTGTCTCTAGCGGACAGGTCAGTTATTGACCATGTCTATACCTCTAATGTCAAATATCAAGTGTTCTCTTTTTTACGTCAGTCAATAACTTAAACGTGCAATATAAAGTTGGTAAATAAAACTCTGATTAGTTCTATTCACCTTTAATTTCATTGTTTTTAACAGATATCAATCTACTGATGAAAACATTAAGTATATTGAAAGAACATATAGAGTCAATTATTACACCAGAGTTTATTGAACAAGCAGCTACAAAACTTTGTGCTTCTGACAAAAACGTGAGTCGGGTTTTTTCTTTTCTATTCTTGCTCTGTTGTAACTTCTGTCATGAAATGTATTTCAGTGAGTATTTTTTTATAAAGTATTAAAATCAACTCTGAGATGCAGGTACATCCAACTGACGAGTCCTGAAATAGGATGAGACACGCATCCTGGGTTCCACTGTTAGCCACTATCCATCATTGTTTATAATGCTTGTGAATTAAAGCAGTATCAAGGCAATACGCACGGTATGCACATATGCTAATAAGCGACTGATCATTTGCAGTCTTAAACCTCAATAAGAAAAATTCAAGCAAACAATATCGAGTGAATTTAAACTTTACACCATTGCACAAGCAAGTGGCTATCAAGACTCAGTAGCTGAGTAGATAACACAATGGTGTTTGAAGCGAATGGTACTAAGTTCGGGTCCCAGAGTGAACATCAACTCTGATATGCAGGTACATCCAGCTGATGAGTCGCAAAATAAGACGAAACCCACGTCATCGATTCCACTGCTAGCTACTATCCATCTTTGCTTAATAACTGTATAGTTTATTATTTGGTGATATGATTTGATACTAACATTGATTGAATGTGAATCTATTAGACATTAACAACTAGAATTTCTCAGTTTAAACAAAACACAATGTTTATTTAGTAAGATAAAGTGATAATCCGGGAGTGTATAGGTTATTGTGGAATTAGTGGAGGCAATAACACACAACTTCAAAATCTGAATTCCACTGCTAACTACTATTCATCTCTGCTTACAATACTTATAAATTAATAGCAATATTGAGGCAATCCGTACAGGAACCACATATGCCTAATAAGAAACTGATCAACTACAATCTTAAACATCAAGGGAAAGATTGAAGCAAATAATACAAAAATAAATTAATATACTTTATAGTTTACACGGTATTTTCTTGTTTGTCGATCAAATAAAGATGAGAATCATGTTCCATTAAAGTGTGAACTATTGGCTACCAACCTGTTGACTTGCAGGTATCATAATCAATATGATGGAGTTTGGTTCTGTACAGGATTATAGATACAGATTGTGGAAGAAGTTCTAATTGAGACCGAACAGCTGTCTAATCTTATCTAATTTCCAATAATCCCCTGGGTTATGTTAGTTTGTAATGATACCTTATCTCAAATATAATTATTTAAGTTTTGTGGACTAATTAATGATAAATTACTTAATGTGAATTTATATAATAAAGATTATCATGAATTTCCTTAGTTATAAAAATACTTTCCTCTTCCTATACACAGTTATCTGACTTAAAGCAATTACTTGATTTGATATTTACTTACTTACTTACGCCTGTTAATTCTCGTGAAGGGGCATAGGCCGCTTACCAGCATTCTCCATTCAACCCTGTCCTAAACAATCCTTTCCAGCTCTTTCCAACTGTTATTCATCCTTTTCAGATCTGCTTCTATTTCCCGACATAATGTGTTCTTTGGTCTTCCTCTTTTCCGCTTCCCCTCAAGATTCCAAGTTAGGGCTTGCCTCGTGATTCAGTTTGATGATTTGCGTAGTGTATGACATTTACTAGAATGAAAATGGTATTTAAATCATTAGAAATCTCTTCATTTAATATTCAAATATTTACCATAAATTGATGATAGATTTTTCGCACAAAAGACCAAAAATCCTGGGTTCGAATCCTGCGCACTGCTGAGGAGTCCCATACTAGGACGAAACGGCCGACCAGTGCTTCCAGGCTTTTAATATTGGTCTAACATCAATCGATTCAGCATCTTAATTAATAACATTTTAATAGTTTCTGGAAACCGTGAGCGGCCTATGCTTCTCCACGAGGGGTAACAGGCATAAGTAAGTAAGCAAATGAAAACCATGAACAATTGAACCGATTTTATACTGTTATCTTAAACTTTAGTAGAGTCTATCCACCACCATACATGACATCAAACTAATTGTATGTAATTTAACTGTAAACCAGTAACATAGAATTTGATAGTTCATATTCCTAACTTTGGTCACTGAATTAATAAATTTATCTTTTCATTCACGTTTTCTCAATTTAGTGTATAAAAGATTTCGAAAAATCTGCCGTCGGTCTTATCAAAGTTATTTATAAAGTAAGCGCATTGAAGCAATAAGTTAACGTTTTTCTTTGTTTGTAATATGCCTTTTTTTATTGTTAACTACCTTTCACAAACAAAACTGACAAACTATTGCTGTATTCATTAAACAATTATTTATACATTTGTGATAAACTTTCAGACTGAACACTTGAATCGATTTCCTAAGCTTTTCTTATAACTTTAAGCTAAATCTACACGACAACTTGAACATGAGAGATCCAAGGTTAGTTTCGGTACAGAAAATTGAAGGTATTTATAGTATTTCGGACAGCCTTGGGCTTCCGGAAGGTTCTAGAACCTCAGTAAACATAGTAGTAGGACAGGTAATCATCCAATCAGAAATGTGACATGTGAATCTTTACTTTCTAGATGTTTCTAAAAAAAACTTGTCCTCAATGCTGATTGGATTAAATATATCCTAGCGTTTTCATGGCCTCTTTGAGCTTTTTCCGAGGAATATTCTGAGTCACCCCAACAGTTTGACCACAGTAAGTATACACAAGATCACATAGTTTACACCATTGACTGATTTTAATTGGTCAACCATTGAAAACTAGGAAGCATTGGACAGTTGCTTCGTTGCAGAATGTGATTGAAGTCGAACATGTAAACCACTCAATGCAGGTCAGTGGTTAAAATGTTAAGAGTTCTATCCATTGTCTGAAGGTCCTAGATCCTAGATAACAGAACAGACTACCACTGGATCAATTTATGTTAAACAAAGCGAAAGAGTTAGCTATAGACGATAGCTCAATCTTAGTTGAACTTTGTGAAATATTATTTTTCGTTTGTATTATAGATAACGATTCAATGGAAAAATAGTGATCAAATATAGTTTAGTTCTGAGTATTAACCGACAGTTCTGAGCTTAATTAGGAAACACATACTAGTCTCATTTATAATTCGAAAGAAGTATAAAAAATCATGTAAACTTTTAAAAGTTATAACTTTGGTTATCTTTACAAAAAATACTCTCGAAGCTTTTTGAGGATCACTGCCACTTCCCAGCCCTGGGTTGGTAATTTCATCTCTTAAAAGAAACCTTGCTAAAACGATGTTAATTAAAAAGATCTGTCTTTATAAAATATATTAAGTAGAGTAACTAACTCAGACCGAACTCTATTGTTACATGATTGGCCACAATCTAAAAAGGTCCACTATATGCAGGTTTCTTAGTGATTTATACTTATCAGGAAGATATAAGTAAAATCTTAAACATGATTAATGTCTCAATTAAAATTTGATCCTAGAAATCAAATACACCTCTAAGTTATGAAGATCGCAGAGTTTATCTCATGTGAAACTAAAATGGTTGTCATTATTAACCGCCCACCCTATTTATTATTATTCATTTATTTATTTGAACACATGGATATTAGAACAGGGGGGCACCAGATACATATACGCCACACAAATCTCGTTTGATATATGTGAGGGCTGTGGTACTGACCGGATGCCCAAACCAAAGCAGGTGGTCTTCTTAGGAGGGCCACACCCGGAGTCTTTGACCTAAAGGTCTGATCCATAAGGCAGTGGAGCGACGTAAGGAGATGCAGTCCCATAGTAGCCGGTAACCAATAATTGATTCATATGCCGTTTTTTCCCTCAGGACACCGGAGCCCATGTTCACCATTAGTTTGAAATCAGGGTTTTTCAATTCCCCTAGGTGGACTCTCTGTGTGCAGCCACCCGAATTAAGCGCCCGATATTCGCTTTTCATCCTCTCAATTTTATAAACAACACCCTTGGTGCGAGAAGGTAGTGATTAGGACTTCCCTGGCAGATGCTATATACGCGTGGCCATGTGAGAGCATTTCGAGAGAGAGAGAGAGAGAGAGAGCAGTCTCTTCCCACTTTCGGTCATACCAGGGAATTTAGGGGCAACCTCCCACCCTATAGTAATCAATATCATTTTGTTTAATCCTTAGTAGCACAATTATATTCTATTAATTTACATTGATGCACCTAATCTTTAATAGGAAAACCGCTACTCTATCAAAAGAATTCAATTAGCTTTGAGGACTACAGAAAACCATATCTTAACTGAATGATTTACGAACTATAATATTATTTGAGTATATTTCTGTTAAACAGTTAGAAATGTCTACTATAATGTAAACTTCTATATAAGTTAGACAAACTACAAAATATCATTCGAAAAGCTTAATACTATATTTACTTTATAATAATAACAATGGTCAGGTTTTCATAATGTGATTTTGGATAGTATTCTGAGTTAGGGTTATTACCCCATAGGGTTTTTATCATCAAAGTGACATCGGTTACAATATAATAAAGTTAATGTTTGATATTACGTGTTAGGCTGAAGTTTTGATTTTGGATTACAAATTAGGGTAAGGGTTTTCGAAACGAACTGATATAGGCTACAATACAATGTTTTGCCGTCCTTCTGTTCACTATCTTAAGAAATTGAGGGTTGCGATTTATAAGAAGCGTTATAAAGGGAGATTATTATCTAGCTTCACTTAACATACTTGACTACGCATTGAATCCCATCTGCCTTAAGAGTAGGTATGTTTTGCAATTTAGCTTAAGTAACAACTTAAATTTACATTTCGATTGCATAACAGATATTTTCATTGATTGTAACTATTTTAAGAATGAATTATTGTCAATGATAATATACAAGTTGTCAATCATTGCATATTAAACTTCGTGCAAACCACTTAAGGAGTTATCTCAGTCCTGACTGGTCAACTCAAAAACGTCAGTGTATTTCAATCCTCCTGTTTTAGTTCATAAAAAGAGGCTGTAGTAAACGAGAACACAAGTGGAGATAACCAAATGTATTTGAACACAAAATTATAGAACGTGTTAGTGAAATCTGGAAACCATACAATAAATATATCATTTGCAAAATGTCAATCAATCGTCTCAGATTTCATTGTTCTACAGTGAGATATTGCACTTTCGATTGATGATACATTATACTCATATCTGTCGAAATCAATAGCAAATACCACATGACACCAAAATGTTTTATTTAAACTTCATTTATCTCATGAAAAGTAATTAAAACAAAATAAGGCAGTAAATTTTACAGTTCATTTTGTAACTCGTCAAATTGATAGCCGTTCAATTTCAATGACTATTTTTAGCTACTTATATTTTAATCAGTAGCAAAGATTTGTTAAGTTAATTTTTTACTGAGTAATTTATCAAACGTAAAACTGATTTGTAATTTCATTTCTTTTAGAATTCAGAAGGTGAATGGTTCTCAAATGATTTTTAAAACTAGATTAACCGTTTTTCAATTCAATTCATATTCATCATTGTGTTTAAACTATTCGAGGAAATTTCTTTGAATAAGTAAATAAATATTTAATTCGTAAACTCTTCTAATCATTTTTGCATATAGTACATAACTGTACAAGTATGATGTATTGCAGAACGTTCGGTATATATTTGTTTACAAGTATAAATTCTTTGATGAAACAATGAATAGATAGCCTGAAGATGAACTCAGTCAAACCTGCAATACATATATAAAGTAAAGATTTCAAACACCTTTGACTATAATACTGAGAAAAATAACTGAAATAAAGACTTTGGTGTTAGATGACCATGGAAATCAAACATTCTGATCTTTAACATCTACATGAGTCTTTCCCTATGGGTCAATTCAAACGACTACATGTTAACCTCCATAATAAAAGTAAATAAAAAGAAATCTAAGTATAGACCACCAAACAAGCAATGTAATAAACGACCACAACCATTACATCCAATTACCAATGAATATACAGCTAGACTAGAAGCCAGTATAAACAATAACTTTGTCCAAAGTAAAACAGCTTCAATACGAATAGGAATAATCAATAATTGCCATGTGGTGCACTGATGGACAACGATCACTGAACAGGAAATAAGGTCAAAAAAATATAACACCATCTGCGAGAACAACTATTGTGCCCCTGTAGCTGTTCCGTGCTATAATGTACGCCTCTTCTCCAGAAGGACCTACCGCCTTGACCAAGTTCTGTTGAAAGGTGCACCATAGGGAAAGTTTGATTCTCAACATCAAAAGGTTTGAGAAACGATAATGATATTCTGGAGACTATATTTTGGAAATCCTGATAAGTTAAGTTGCCCAAACGAATAACGATGTATATTGCATATCAAAGGACGATAACTATATTTGCACTTATTAATACTAGTAATCTAGTATTTCTAAAGAACAAACTGAGAAATTCCTGGTATGAATCATAAAGGAAATAAAACTGTCCGATCCAAAATGAAAGCACATTTCAGAGTCAACCGAACGAAAGCCCCTTAAATGTTCACATTAATGAGGTTTGATTCAAATGAAGCATAATGCATCAGTTATAAAAACAGTAGGAAAATCTATGAACACCGCCCATAAATAAATTAAATTAGACTCTAGTGACTCGATATAATAGCCTAACTTATTTGATAATGGGAAGATTAGCATAATATTCATCCAGACCAATTTCCCCAAAAAGGTTTTCCATCAACAACTCATCAACAAACGTATATACAATGATGACAGAATCAATAATCCTTTAAAAGCTGAATGTCATGACATCATTACGTTAGTTAGAAATATTATTCGTATGTTAAAACAAAATTTTATACATCAGTCTTGAATCTCAGTGAACATTAAAAAATTGGTTACAGCAATCGTAATGAACGAGAACTCAGGTGGGGACAACCAATGTATTTGAATACAAAATTTTAGCGTTCTTTCGTCAAATGTGAAGACTACTTCATTTGGAAAACCTTCCATCAATTGTCTCGAACTTCATCGTTCCTTGAATGCTGTAACAATTACTTCCTGTTCCCGTTCTCTTCGTTTCAACCTTCCTATCCTGCCGCCAGACATTCCACTTCTGACTGATGTTATATACTACTTATGTCGACATAATTAGCATACACCAGACATTTAATTATATCAGATCCTTGTCTTAATAAGTCACAGAGTGGAAATGAACTACTTAGAAACAATTGTCTGTATAACATATATTTTTGCAAGAACTAATGTAACTTCAGACCCACTTCTGTACATATCCATTCATGAACTATGTTAGGCTAATCATAGTTTATTAAAACTGGTTAGCTTACGATTTCTTTTTTCTATTTTATAACCTACATATCATAGACAAACGTGTCAGCTGTACCATTTTTATTCCTTATTAATTCTCGGTTTTTATAGAAACCTCAGTAAAACATCTGAACTAAACAAACCTATGCGATTCAACAAGGAGCATCAGATCTCTCAAGATTATATGTACACCTTGCTGACCAGTGCCAAGCAGCACGAAACCTACGTCCAGGATTTCATGTTGACTACCTCCAACCACCATCTTATCTCAACGTAGTGCACGCAATGTAGACTCACCTAGATTGGTGGCCACATTGTAACTTGGTCGATAGGATTCGATCTGCACTAAGAAGGACCTGATATACATGACATTGATCACCGCCCAGTGATCAACCGATTCTAGATAACCTTAATCATTCTAACTCTTCTTCACATCAAATCATACCTCAATTTTATATAAACAATCAAGGTTGATAAATGAATAATTAACAAGACCGAAATGTGAAAAATGAATAAACTAATCTTTCCGGAAGCTAGAATAAGCTATATAGACTTAACATAGTACCAGCCTCTACGAGTTCAAGTCAACCATTTACAGCTCTAATAATTGTCAGTTCAAATTAATCATGTTAGAACATAGTTAAAGGACAAAATAGTCTAACACTAACTTATTATTTCATTTAATGGTGAGACCATAATTTATGGACGAACCAATAATGTGTAAGATAACAGGTATCAGATTTTGACACGAAATTCATTCATTCGGATAAATTGAGTTTTTGCATTATAGCTGATGTGAATTCGTGATGAAAACCCTAAATCTAGTTTCTAACCTTAATCATTAACCGTAAATCATAATTCCAATACCTCACACTGGCTTATAACCCTAATTTGTTCCTAGTTATTAGGTGGACACTCTCAAGGTCAGTTTAGTGTCGCTCAAAGGTCGTCCATAAGTTATAGTCTCACCCATTTAATCTTATAGAAGCATAACATTTTGTATTTCATAAAATAAGGGGTACTTTCACAATAGTTTATTTATTGATAAAAATACATTGAAGTAAAATAGAGTTCTTCTTCACCTTCTCAATATTTCAACTTTTCAAGTATTCTTTAACATATCATTAATCTCTGGAAAGAAAGTTATATAATAAATTTTCAATCCTGTTAGAAATAAACTTCAGTTCAATGATAAGTGAAATATTATTATGATATTGTCATAGGGAGGCGAAACCCGACTCACACGTTCGCGTCGTGCCTCCTGAATAGTGGGACGGATGACCTATGAACTAACGTGAGCGGTAACCTGTGTGGTAGAGATAGGGCTAATCACCCACTCGACCGATACCCTCAAACCGACTACGAAATCCACAAAGAATCACAGAACAACTACTCTTGGATGAAAAAACGACAAAAAAATTGACAAAAGTGGTGCATGTAATGTAAGGAATTACTCCTTACAGGGCAAACTCCAACCGGTTGCAAAAACAGCTATTCTAGCCCCGGTAGTTGTGCCGTGCTTCGATATGGCCTGTTTCTCTCTAAAAGGGCCTACTAGGCTTCACCAACTTGTTTGGCTGGAAGGGGAATTGTCATAGGTATGTTATAGATATAATGGTTTAATGAATATTCATCCAATAGGATTCAAAGATAAGAAAAATACAACAACAAAAAATGAATACACCTCAATCATAAGATCTACTTTTCAGTGATATAATTTTCAAGCTGTTAGCTCAAAGTAAAAACTGACCATCAGTCAATCAATCCCTTCGTTGATAATAGTTAGGACTTCAGACATGACTGGTTAAACATTTTAGTGGATGTTTACGAAGTATATCTTAAACCCAGTCATTAGAATATATATAACATTTTTAAGGGTTGATGTTTTTCCGTTGTCAATTCTTAAAACTGAATTTTGATGAGTCTATGTCGGCATATTCATATCATGAATGAATCCTTCAGTATTCTCTATTGCTAAAAGTTCTATTATATCCTTGGGTTATGGCTAAAATTCTAATTGAAGATGAAATATTTAATCCTACTATGAAACTCATCAACTAAATATTAATGTTTCCTAATGTGAATGCTAAATGTAAATGAGTTATCTAAGTTAGTTGTTTTAACTATAAAGCCTCCATTATCATTCTAGATCATATTACTAGTGTTAACTTCATGTACAAGCGAGCTTTCTAATTATATCACAATATGTTATATCCTAGTGAAGATTAAATTACGGGTAGCTTCCGAGGACTATTCATGGACTAATATTCTGTAAATATTCTTATTGTATAACTATTCAATAATTAGATTATGTATATTTATATTCCTCGTATTATAAGCTTCATTTTTACTTATGTACTATTATGATACGATTTACTGTTCTTAAGTTATGTTCAGTTTATTGATTACAGTCTCCCACGATCACAACCACTTTTTGGCTTGATCTTGTAGAAATGTTATTTCCTATTTTATGGTGTGATGCGGTCTGTTTGGCTGGTATATTAAACAAATATGTTTGAAATAAATGATTCGTCTCGAATCGCATGGTGGGATATGGTATCGGTGTTCTGGACTCAAGTGGACGGGCTGGGAGAACATAAAACCAATAAAGGACGCTAGGCTTCTCATATCGGTCGAACGTCAGTCGTTTAGCACAGTGCTAAGATTGTATAAGTCGTATTTTGATTGGTGGATAAATCACGTGATAACTAACCGGACATAAAGTCACAACAACATACACTAAATTACTTTATCCTGGTGACTTGGTTTTTGATTGGTTATTTTCATGGACTATTACAATAAACTGATTTAACGTATGTATAATATCAGAAGGGGTTTTGTGGACATCATATTAATTTAAATAATTGAGATCATCAGGTACCAGGGATCGTGGATGCACACTTCTGAGGAGTGCTACAATAGGACGAAACGGCTGTCCAGTGCTTTCAGGTTTTTTATGGTGGTCTAGCTTCAATTGACCCACGATCTGAACTATGAAAATTAGTATAGGTAATAACTAAAAGGTTTAGTTTTATACACGGTAAGAAGTGATAATCTTGTCTAGAATGATAATGAATGTTTCACAATGAAACTATTTAGCTTAGACTATTTAACAATATCAGAATCAAAATCATTTCCATCATTTCAAGATGTTGTCTATAATAAAGTAGATTTCATCTTAACATTCTTGACCTATATTTTCTATAATACGATTTATTTTATTTATTAAAACTCAATTACGTAAGTATTTGTTAATAGACTTAATAATCCTTTATAAAGTGTCATGAGTCAATTGAAGCTAGACTACTATGCAAAACCTGGAAGCTCTGGACGAAGCTCGTGCATGAGACTGATAGGTCCTAGGTTCGAATCTCTTGAAGAGGGATCGTGGAAGCGCTCTGCTGGGGAGTCCCACAGTGGGACGAAACGGCCGTCCAGTGCTTCCAGGTTTTCCATGGTAGTCTAGCTTCAATTGACAAATGATCTAAACTATGAAAATTATTATAAAAACCACAAAACCCCCTTCGATGTTTATATTATATCACATTAGTTGCTCTAAAACTTTCATATGTTGTTGAGCAAAAGTGATATATATATATATATAGTTTTAAAAAACTAAGAAAAAAATAGCACCAACTCAACTACCTGACAGATCATGGGAACAGTTGAATTTTCAAATAAATTTATTAATATACCAGCATAATTTTGAGCAACAAACGAACACTGAAAATTTTAATGATTAAATATAGAATTATATTAAGCATATTAATTTTTAAGTATTAATTGATTAACCCATATATTTTGTGGTTGGATTCATGAGTCAATTGAAGCTAGATCACCATGGAAAACCTGGAACCACTTGACGGCCGTTTCATCCTAGTATAAGACTCCTCAGCAGTGCACATACACGATCCCGCCTCGCGAGATTCGAACCCAGGACCTGTCAGTCTCGCGCGCGAACGCTTAACCTCTGGACCACTGATCTGACCGGCATCCAACGGTTCAATTGACTCATAAATTCAACTATAAGATTACTAAAATCTCCACAAAACCACTTCTGATAATAACTTATAAATAAAAACTTATACATAAACTCAACAAAAAAACATACATATTATCAGTTTTAATAGTTGAATTCATGAGTTAATGTAAGTTAGAACACCACTGAAAACCTGAAGGCACACGACAGCCGTTTCGTAATAATAATGGACTCCTCAGTAGTGCGCATTTATGATCCCTCACAAAAGGGACTCGAACTCAGAACCTTCGGTCTCGCGCTCGAACGCTTTGCCTCTAGACCACTGAGCCGGTTTGCATCCAACGGTATTGTTGTTTAACTACAGTCGATTCATGATCTTGAGAAACTATTCTAACACTGTCAGTTTGTAGTTTTTATCAGAATACATAGTGAATCTAAATATCAACAATCACTGATAAGTACTTGGAAGTAATTTGTCATATAAATAAAATAATACAAGAGAACGGATTGAATTCAGTATTTCAGTTATGAGTACTTAAATATTGGGTTGATTAACAAGTAGATGACCTTTATATCAGATATTTGAATTATCACGTTAAATAGACAGACTTGAATTGCAATGACTGCCACCTGAAGAGTAAAACACATATAGAACTTTGAAGCAATTCAAATAATTAGTGTTTCTTCCTAAGTATAAATTATTCCTTTATTAGTAAACGTCCGTTATTATTCTCAGCTTTGTTGTATACTTAGGTCATGTTCTTGTTTTTTTTAGAAGAAATCATTAATTCTTGTTGAAGCATTATCCAAGTATACAGTTACTAGGGATATGACTGCTAAGCGTTTACTTTAAACTATCACTTATCATGAAGTGATCAAATCTAATTACTAGATTATTTAATTTCAATATAGAAGCTGAATTCTGTCAAGATCGTTGGTAAGGCTGAAGATGACTGACTTGGTCCCATGCGTACATTGAAGTATGCAATCATGAATAGTTAATCCATCATGAAATTATCTTTATAAACAAAGTATATCTTTAGAAACTATCTGATCAACTAATTATTGATGCGCAATCGCTTTTCATCGCTCATTGTCATCACCTAAGGTAAAAGCGCCATATATAGTCAATAGACTGACATTGGAAATTTCGGTCACTGTATTCTATGTTATTCGTCTAAAAGTATGAGACTTATAGAGAAGTATAAGTACCCTGAGTCTCATCTTTAAGAGGCATTTCTGAGAAGCCCCCCCTAATAGGTAAAGCACCAATCTGTTACTCTTTTATCTGCATTGATACCCTCATCTGATGACAATCCATGATGAATACCATTTTCGAATTAAATTAATCTTCAAATCTCCTCAACCACAAACATAACTACAAAAATATTATTTATTTATTTCATAGCTTACTCACTTCAGATAAATATGGTCCAGTGAATATACACAATCGATCAATAAATTTATTAATATAGTAAATAACTTGTGAAAGTTGTAATATGAATTTTACTGCAATCACTGTCATCTTACATCCAGTACAGACTAGAAAAAGAAAAGAAAAAGAGAAAAGAAGGAAAGTAGAAAGGAATAAAACAGCTTGATTGTTTCTATCTTCTTATTGTTTTCTTTTTCAGAATGTATAATGAAATAGTTTCTTCTTCATTTAAAATTTTATTCAGATCAGTTGAACTTACCATCGAGATTTATCTGTTGAATCAGAAGAAAAAAGAACAAAAGAGAACAAAGAAAACTGGTGAAACAATGAATGGATCTTTGAATATCTCATAAATGAATTTACTAGTTTCTAGCAATATATTATAAAGATATTTAGCGTTTCTTTAAATGATACATTTGAGTTCATTATGATAGCTTTTTGCCAACTTGCGTCATTCATGGCGTAGGCGAGATATCCGTCTATCAACCAAAGGACGTGTTTACTGCACAGCAGTTCGTTCCGTTCTACTTTTTGGCAGTGAAATATGGCCAGTAAGAGTAGAGGATATTCGTAGGTTACTAGTATTTGACCATAGGTGTCTTCGAAACATTGCTCATATATCCTGGGACTACCAAGTAAGCAACTCAGTTGCTAGGAAACAGGTACTAGGTAAGGATGGCAAATCAATTGATGAAGTAGTGAAACTTCATCAGTTGAGATGGCTGGGACATGTGTTGCGCATGCCCGACCACCGACTGCCACGACGTGCGATGTTTTGTGGTGTGGGAGTAGGTTGGAAGAAAGCTAGGGGTGGCCAGACCAAACATGGCACAAATCCATGAAGTCACTGACAAGTGGACTGAGCCATGTTGGTAGATGTAGACTACTTGGTTGGGGACCGCGAGATGATAGCAACCGATGGTTAGAGACCTTGAATGACATGGCTCAAGATCGTTTGCAATGGCGCAGGTGCATCCCGTTGGGGTATTCAGAAAATACCCCAGAAATTATCTAATGCTATTCCTGAATGAGAAGTAGTGTCATTTCCCCCATTGGTCAACATTCTTCCAACGTGTCATCTCTTTATTGGTCAATATTTATTTGTGTCATTTCCTGAAGGTTAAATCTTGTACAAATGTTACTTTCTATTTTATGGTACGATGTAGTCTGTTTGTTTGGTATATAAACAGTGTATGTTTGAAATATAACGATTCATATCTCCGAGGCTGAGACTTGTGTTCTGGACTCAATTGGCTGGGCTAGACAGGGAAGCAGGACCAATCAGGACTCTAGGCTGCTCGCTCGTATTTTGTGCGTCACTGTTTCGATCGATAATAGGCTGCTCTCCAATAGGCGGATCACACGTTATAACGCATCCACTCTCTGTGTTCTCTCAAACTCTAATCTTCTGAATTCTTCATGTCCTTTATTTTCTTTCCAAATCTATTCCACTGATTATACTCCTTAAATAACATCATCAAACCCTAATGTTCCCTATCACTGCTTATACTTTCATTACCTCTACCACTACGGGATTTGAATCGATAACTTCATCTCTGTGCTAACATGGTATGACAACTCGAACTGATGTGCGTACGTACAAAGTTCCACGTTGTTACTGACTGACTGACTGATAATAGCTTGTGTATTTTCGCGGGGGGATGGGGTAATCTTCTTCTGAAAAACTCTTTAACATTTTTTTCAACTTTCCACAATCTAATAAAGTGAATGATATCCTTGTATTCATTGGTGATTAAATTTGTGAAAAGATCACTAAAGTCTTTATGAGAAGTCTTATTCGATGAAATTTAACTAAATATGAAAGTGAGACAATTGTACTTGATGATATTGAATAACGATTGTGTTATTTCATGAGTTCGAAGTATAAACCATTGGATTGTAACTAATTATTCTAATGATAAAATGGTTACTATGATACCTTATAGTCCTGAATTCGATTTATTTTGTGTGGGGGTTTGAAATGATCATTGTCAAAGAGTCACAAACTAAAACTTTATTATTTTTACACTGTTTGAATAACACCAATTCGCAAATTGTGTACACTCCTTTCGATTCGATGAGACGAAACTTAATGTGGTTCAAACTATATTTTAATAGATCAAATGATTTCCATTTTCATTTTATCAAAAGGGCTGAAAGTTAAAACAAGTTTGATTACCTGATAAGCAAGCATTGATAGTCATTATTAACTAGTTTCGTAAATGTTCCTATGATTTTTAATCTGTCATTATAAAGAATTTAATACTAAGGTGAACCATATTAATGTCGGTTATTTATTTGTTTAGTTTGAAGAAGTGCTTTATTCTAAATGATAGAATGTCGATATTGTGATTATATTGAAATTATCAACTGAGACATTGATATTGATACCTACATATAAATTTCATTGATATTAATCATTTGTCAAAGATAAATTCCCCGATCTGATCTAGATTGCTCAAGTATTCTGACGATCTTGGTAACTGCTTTATTTAATTTTATAGCTAACCGTCAAGCTGTGAGTTAAAGATGCCAGTTACTAACTAAAAGTAAACATCATTCATGGGAATTGTCTTAGTCTAACTGGTATGCAGTCATGGGTAAAATTCATGCGTCACGTTTCATCCTATTTGGGATTCTACGGCTGAATACCTACATAAATCTCAATATTAATCTTCACATTGAGATTCCAAACCAGTACTTTAGGCAAAGATGGATAGTGGGTAACGATGGAATTCAGGACGCTCGTTTCTTCTTATTTGGGACTCGTCAGCTGGATATATCTGCATATCAGAGTTGATGTTCACTCTGGGACTCAGACCCAGTACCGTTCGCTTCAAATGCCGTTGCGTTATCCACTTAGCTACTGAGTCCTGATAGCCACTTGCTTGTGCAATGGTTTGAAGCTTGAATTCATTTGGTATTGTGTATTTAGGTTCAAGTCCCGGAGTGAACATCAACTCTGAGATGCAGGAACAGCTAACTGACGAGCCCCAAATAGGACAAAATGCAGATCCTGGATTCCACTGTTAGCCACTATCCATCTTTGCTTAGAATGCTTGTGAATTAAGGTAATATCAAGGCGATACGCACAGTATGCACATATGCCAATAAGAGACTGATCAATTACAGTCCTAAATATCAATGGGAAGATTCAAATAAACAATACCAAATGAATCCAGTACTTTAGGTTTCAAAAGTCAACACGTTATCTCATGAACTCCTGACCCTAGTTAAATAACCATTTAAAAACAGTAAGAACTAGGTAACTATGGTTTGAAAGCTAACAAATCACTAAGCGATCTGAGAGTCTTTTGTCTGATCCCAAGTGGAGTCATATATGATCACTACTGATAAGTCTCTTACTATGACAAAACATTGACCCAATGTCTCCTAGTTTTCAATGGGTATCTTTTTAATTTAAACAATGAAATTCAACAATCTTTACAAAACCCCTATGGTAACGTTTTGTATAATCAAAAAAAAAAAAGGAAAAAGAAAAAAAAAAGAAATTTTCATTCAATATCACAATTGACCCATCTTTGTTGTTATTGTATGTTCACCCTCAGTGAGTCAGTTATAAATTTCAAGCATATGGAATCAACAAAACATTATTAAATATTAGGATTAAATAATGCGCCAAAAGTTTCATAAAAATAAAACAATGTAAACTTACTTTATCTGGGAATTTACCATTATCTTCTTGGAATAAAAGATCGATTATTAAATTTGCAAATGACTCGCAGGAAATTTCAGATTTCTAAAGAATAAAAGATGAATAGAGAGTAGAAACATTTCGTTTAAATTAGTTTCTTTATTTTAATCATAGTTCTATACTTATTCCCAAATGATGTTGTTTGCTTGGATCTTACCATTGATCTTTAGGACTGTAATTGATCAGTCTCTTATAGACATGCGAATGCTGTGAGGATTGCCTCTATACTGTCTTCAGTCACAAGCATTATAAGTAATAATGGATAGTGGGTAGCAGTGAAATCCAGGACACGCGTTCCGTCCTATTTGGGACTCGTCAGCTGGGTGTATCCCATTGCACAAGCAAGTAACTATTAGGATTCGGTAGCTAAGTAGATAACGTGATGATGTTTGAAGCGAATGGTACTGGATTTGAGTCGTGGAGTGAACATCAACTATCGGATGCAGGCACACCCAGCTTACGAGTCTCAAATAAGACGAAACGCGAGTCCTGGATTCCACTGCTAGCCACTATCCATTATTACTTATAATGTTTGTGACTGAAGACAGTATAGAGGCAATCCTCACAGCATTCACATATGTTTATAAGAGACTGATCAATTACAGTCCAAAACATCAATGGGAAGATTCAAACAAGGAATTCCAAATGAATCTAAACTTATTCCCAAATTATTTATAATTCTAAATCTATGGTTCAATAATGAATACTTTGATATTAATAACATGTTATATGTAAAGTGATATTCTGACTTGATTATCTATTCACCTATCAGCCTAAAAGTTATTAAAAACTAGTCAGTGTTCATAAACTAAAACGAAGTTGATAAGCATGTGCATCGATTTAGTTTGGTGCGCTACATCGTTGCAATAAGTTGTAATCATCAAGATGAATACCAAGGTAGTAGACGTAGTGGTGGTATCATTGGCTATGAAAAAACTAAACTTAGGGAACATGATTTTCAAAGAAAGAATGAATACATGGCATAAAAGGTATAAGATAATTTTTAAACACAAAATCTAAAGGTAAACAAAGAGTGAACGAATCACTGCTGTCAATTCAGAACAATATCACCGAACATCGGTAGTTGTTCATGATAATCATCCAGAACCAAAACAAGCAGTAGTCTTCAGCTACCAACAGTCAATTAGATAATAGACGTTTGGCAAACCTTAGTTTTTTCCAAGTTACTCTTATACCACCCAGAAGTCTCGTCAAAAATTATGAGCTTATGTAACTGTGGAATTCAAAATCGGCATGAAAGAGCTCTCTTTGGTAAATTTCAAAAATTTAATGAAAGAAACTAGTCGGTAAGTGTTACGTCCTTGATCTGTCTACCGACTAATATACATAAGATAAAATGTCTCAATCTAGATTAAGGTCTCTCGACGATAGGCTGACTGGTTTAACCACGAGGCTAAAATGCATAAATCAGACGAGCTGTCTTGGGTAGAAAGACGAAAACTATTCTATCACCTGATCGGTTGACAAGCGAGAGAGAGAGAAAACGAGTCAACTGGAACATAAATCGATTTATTCTCAATTCCGATTAACAATTCCGATTCAGATTAGTACAAAAAGTACATGCATAAATAAATGACTAACATGGCCACAACGTACAGACAACTAAAAAAAACAATTATATCCAAAACTGGGGATTAGGGTAGAAAAATAAAGTACCAAAGGTTATGTTTACATTAAAATAGTTTTGAAATAGAAAAAAGTATATCAGTGAGTTATACATCAAACGAAAGCTTATAGTTTGTAGAATAACCTAGATACAAAACTAAATGTTAGCATTTTACAAACTTTGAATTAAATGAAATAACACCCCCCCCAAAAAAAAATAACTTCCATTATTTATTATGGCATCTTAGTTTCTATGTTCACATCGGTAACAGGACCTATTGTTGGTCTTATCTCTAATTTAGCATTTTAAAAATTATTTCAATATAACAAACAAATTTTCATCCAGTACTTCTAGGTTCTCAATAGTAATCTAACATGGATCAATTCATGATCTCAATCAAAACCCTTAACAATTTTCACAACTCCAAACTGAAGGGTATTATCTATGTTTAAATTACAATTCCAACTTATCATGTTTTATATCTGCTATCAATTATTGTAGAGAATTAATAAGAAAAATCAATTGTAGTTCTATTTACTCATTTATTCATTCACTTTCATTTATCTCTTATACAGATCAAACAACCTATCAACATATGATCTTGTTATATAATCGATTTTGATTTCATTTTATTCTTATAATACTTATTTATTTAGATCAGTATTTAATAATTTATATACTAATTTTCATGGAGTACTCATTGAATAAAATAGGCATAACTACAAAAACTTACATAGATACACATACACACACACACATACGCATACACACACACTTTCCTTTGTAATGGAGTTGATTGTGAAACCAACTTTATCCAGGGAAATAGAAAAAAAAATAATCAGTTGTCAACTAGTATAAATCAATCAATTTATTATTTTTATTTTTGAGTAAAAATCTAGACGAGTTTACAATTTTAAGTATTTGGTTGTCAATTATAATACTAAATTGCCTGAAAGATTAGTTCTAATTAGAAAAAAGAAAAATCAGTGGTAATTTAATTATTTTGAGTTAATCAAACAATCCCTTGTTAAACAGTGAATGAAGTGATTATTGATTTTTAAGCGTTAACAGAATTTGTATCAGGTGGAAATGTTACATTGTACATTTCTAGGATGAGATATGATTTACCCCTGTCTGATTATAATCATCGTATTTTCACTAGTGACTAGCTTCAAGAGTCATTTACTGGAGTTCTAGTGAGAAGCAGTGACCAGTGGATATCAATCGGGTCTGTTGTAAGATAGTAACTTACTTAACACAATGATGAACGGTGGTGAAATTTCGAGGATTGGTTGAAGTTAGACATTAACACCGTTGGATGCCAGCCGGCTCAGTGGTCTAGAGGTTAAGCGTTCGCACGCGAGACTGATAGGTCCTGTGTTTAGATCACACGGGGCGGAATCGTGGATGTGCACTGCTGAGGAGTCTCATACTAGGATAAAACGGCCATATATATATATATATATATATATATATATATATATATATATATATATATATATATATATATATATATCACGTGCACCATGTTGACATGTAAGATAGTGGGTGTAGAAAGTTTGTAGGAAACCCTGGATTCAGATTCCATGCTATATGGCACTCATCAGCGAGGTGTACCTGTAATCGTTAAGGAATTAAGACTCAATGGTATCGTCTCTGACTTTTAAGTTGGGTGACACATGATAGGATCTAGCAAAAAGCACCAATTCCTTCATGATTACAAGTACATCTTGTTAACAAGTGACAAATAGCACGAAATCTGTATCCAAAGTCATTTGTCGACTACTTTAAACCAACACCTTACGATTATCTAATGTTTGAAGTAATTCAAAAATGTAGGGGGATGATATAGTAAAAAGATTGGAAATGGAAATGTTAGTTCACAGTTAAACCCATAGATTACTTATTTTGGATACTATAAACAAAAATCATCAGGAATGCTGATAATAGTCAAAACTCACCTTATTTATAGAAACATTTGCTAGTAAATCTATACATTCCTTTTGTATGTGTAATTTTATTGTTTTATCTATAAATAATTCTGTATTGAATAGATTGTTCCATTTTTCAGAAGCTTAGTCAAAAGTAGAAGAAAAGAAGAAAACTTTATAGAATAATATCATGTCATAGTTTGGTGCACCCCCCCCTCCTGGGCATTCTATGATAGAATAAGGAAAACTGGATATGGTTGACTACCAAATAAATAATAAATAAATAAGTAAACAATTTCACTCACTCGCTCTCCCATATTAGTTGTTTTCTATTCTGTTAATTTACATTTATGGTGATTACTGATTTCCCTGTTTCAGTTGACATATTAACTTATTCAAATTAATAATTACTAACTGGTCATTTCAGTCTTGACAGTTTCATTTAATTAGCAATCTTTAATGTCGAATTGAACATTGCGTACTTTATTGAATTATCATATTGAGACCTTTAACTATAGAACTTGATGTGAAATCATTAAAAAAGGACTATTCTTCGTTTATATGTTCATATTTTCTATTGACTAGATAACATGAACAGTTACTGCTTGAATATCTGAACTACCTGTTCCTGCCATCTGGATATTTCAACAAAATATCTGTTTTCTAGTCTATTTTAACACATTATTATGCCTATTAGTCGTATAAACTATTCAAGTGCGTTTATGAAAAGTTATAAAAGAGTCCGATCAGAGACATCATGGTTGCTGGTAATATGTAGTGTCTGTCATTATGTTAAGCCCAAATACCTTATTATTCTAACTTTCGGACAGCCCATTCTATTCATTCTATTTGAGTCACATTCTGACCTTGTTAATTATTCGCTTATCAATATCTTGACTGCTTTATATGAGCGCGTAGGCGTATGTACACTTCTTATCCCATTACTCATCACATGTCTGTAATTTATTTTTGTGGGCTTCTAAATATTGATTAACTCTTTGTTAAAGGAGAGTTGGCTTACCAGACATCTCCACCGCGCGCCAACTTAACTTCGCTTTCTTCTCTTCGCGTCGTTCTCCCGTTCGTTTGTCTGATCAACAATTATACGAAATATATGCATTCAAAACTCCATTCTCGTTATTTGACTTATTTAATTCCGTTATTAACTAACGCGATTTAAGTCAATGATTATATACGAGGATAGACGATAGCAACCAATCATTACGATTAAATTGGAGTCAGATCACGGGCCACTAAAATGGTGAGCCCGCCACCACAGGCGAACACAACGGGCCACTAAAAATATGCATTGAAGTGAATAAACATTATTCAAATATCGATTCCAGAACTGCTAACATCTAACTGAAAACCATTCAATATGTTATCGTCAGGATCGATCAAGAAATAAAAGGAAACTTGTTGAAATACTTTGTGCTGAGTACTCTATATTCTACCAATAATAATAATAATAATAATAATAATAATAATAATAATAATAATAATAATAATAATAATAATAATAATAATAATAATAATAATAATAATAATAATAATAATAATAATAATAATAATAATAATAATAATAATAATAATAATAATAATATAATAATAATAATAATAATAATAATAATAATAATAATAATAATAATAATAATAATAATAATAATAATAATAATAATAATAATAATAATAATAATAATAATAATAATAATAATAATAATAATAATAATAATAATAATAATAATAATAATAATAATAATAATAATAATAATAATAATAATAATAATAATATAATAATAATAATAATAATAATAATAATAATAATAATAATAATAATAATAATAATAATAATAATAATAATAATAATAATAATAATAATAATAATAATAATAATAATAATAATAATAATAATAATAATAATAATAATAATAATAATAATAATAATAATAATAATAATAATAATAATAATAATAATAATAATAATAATAATAATAATAATAATAATAATAATAATAATAATAATAATAATAATAATAATAATAACAATAATACATCCTATCACTTCGTAAGTAGTATCTATCAAGGGTTAAGTAAGAGTGAAATAGTGTTCTTCAGCCAAATTATTTTTTTTTCTAAAAATTCATTATATTAAATGTAATATTAAAAATAATAAGATCATAGAAGATCAACTTACTTATCTTTTCTCTGGTTGAATCAATCTAAAAAAAGTCAGATAAAGTTATCTAACTTAAATCTATGATCTTTATTAGGGAATGAAATGAACATTTTAAGGGAAGACCATTTTGTTTTATATTCAATGATTACATATTGAGAAAACTAAACGGTGATTACGTAACATAGATTATCTACAACATCTTTTAAGAATATAAACTTACATCATACCAATACCACACATAGGGTATGTTAGGTCCCGATAAGCATAATGAATGGTAATTTTTGGAATCCATTTATGAACCAATACTAAACGTATATGTTTATCGTATAATTGTTAAATAACTAAACCATTCATATTTCTCTTATTATAAACTTTGTTTTGACCTATGAACCATTATTATACGTCTTACCATTCATGAATTATTCCCTGTCTATTTGTCACTGCCTCCCTCATTCACAGCCACTTTTGACCAAATCTTGCACAAATGTTATTTTCTATTTTATGGTACGTTGTGGTCTGTTTGATTGGTATATAAACTCAGTATGTTTGAAATATAATAATTCATATCGCAGAGGCTCGGATTGGTGTTCTACACTTAATTGGCTGGGCTAGGCAGGAAGCAGGACCAGTCAGGACTCTAGGTTGCTCGTACGGGTTTTACGCGTCATTGATCCGATCGATAAGTCACTGCTCTCTCATTGGCGGTCAAATTATAACAGGGTATATTCACATTGAGTTGTTTAGATCAGAACACATTTACTTTCTATACTGGATTAAGTATATTAAATGATGAGTGATTAATAATTCATTTAGATTATAATGTCAATTGATTTCTATTAAAGACATTTTCAAACACTTGTTATATACACTATAAAGATAGTGTATTTTTAAGAGTAACCTATGCTCTTTCATTATATATAAAAGGATAAACTTTATTGGAAAGATAATTAACTATCTACAAATATTAACTAATTCTCATTTATGAAGTATGATTATCCATCATGACATAATTGTTATTTAATAAAGTAGTATATCTATTTATAAGTTAGTCAGTGATAATCAATATAGAGTTTGTCACAAATTCATGTCAGCTCATTTGGATATAATTCATTAATATGGCAAGATCAAATTAACAAGATGAATGATGAAGGAGTCGAAATAATTGTACCCAGCTATGAAAGGGAGGAAGACTAAAAAGAAAGAATATGATTTTAGAAGAACAGTTGAAGAAGTATGTGGGAAGAAATACTGATATTCAAAGTTCAGGTTAAGATAAAAAATGAATGCCTCTGCACTAGTGTACCTGATTCTAAGTCATGCCCTATTAAATCTTCATCTACTGACAGTGCCTATCACTCGAACTCTAATCAAGTAATTTGAAACCGCGAACATGATTCAAACCAACAATAACTTCATAGACTGATGGTTTATGTAGGTTTAGCAGTGCCCTTCCCAGCCTTATTTCAACCTGTTCTCACTCCAGCCAAAATAAAATATTGAAGTAGGAGTTGGTTGATGGATATGCAGTACATATCACAACCACCTAACTCCACCTGGAACCTCTCTTGGGCTATTGCCGGTCCCAAGCTCGGATAAAGGAGGAGGGTTGGGCATGGGGTTAGCGACCTCAGCCTGTAGAAAACTAACTCTTTAAAAAAGCGTTAACCAGAAAGAATTATTTTAACCATTTAAACTCTTCCCCGGGAGTTAGAAGGTCTTCATTTAGAAGAGTTATGACGTTTCATGATGAAAGCCGAATTTATTCGGAAGTCACGAAACTGATACGCCTTTTGACAACCAGAGCAACTATTAATTTAGGTACATGGAAAAGTAAGTCACAACCACCTCAGTCGATAAAGATTCTGTAAGTGGAGAAATACAGTACACCAATATAATCTTAGAGTTATTAAATATAATTACAATCTAGATAATTAGCACTGATTTTATGTAAACTGTGTTAATATAACAAAAGTCAAGTTGATTAATTGATACAATTATAATGATTATATAATCTAATATTGGATAGAATAACTTGATTTGTAAATCTCGTTAGCCAAAATAAATATAGAAATAGACAGATTATGATTTTTAACAAAACACTCACCTGTAAAATTAAATCCAATATTATTAGATCTGTCGATTTAAAATTTATGATGATTAGTTAACATTAGAATGGAGGTTTGTGGAGATTATAATCACTTTAATAGTTGAATTCATGACTTAATCTAAGTTGGACCACCATTGCAAACCTGGAAACACTGGATGATTGTTTCTTCCTAGTGTGGGACTTTTCAGTAGTGAGCATCCAGGATCCCATACCAATGGGACTCGAACTCAGAACCCTAGGTTTCATACGTGAACGCTTAACCTCTAAACTACTGAGCCGGTAAGCATCCAATGGTGTTAGTGTTTGACCTCAATCAATCTTGAGTAACCATTCATTTATTATCTGAGGTAGATACCTGTCTCTAACTGACATAGATTGGACAGAAAAAAAAACACAATTTAAATAATCTTACATGATAGAATGTGAATGATTAACATTTTATCTGTAAATACAATGGATTATGCGTAAACTCTTGCAAAGGTTATTAATTGACTATTTAATTGACACTGTTTAGTTTTTATATTGAATTCAGCGAACAATATAACGTGTATAATTAATTATTCAATGTTATGGATATTACATTTGGTTATTATGTTAGTAAATAATGTATTCTTTTTATTCAGGAGACGTCAGGGCGAAGAGTAATCTGTTCAACCTTTGATCATTTGTTGATATGCTTGTAATTAGCAAATTATTGAAGCCAATTAAAACATAAATGAATAAATATAAAATAACTTATCGGATCGGTAAACTTCGACTTTGCTATGTATAGCGCGTTATTTGAGAGCAATTATGTATTATAAAAATTAGTGCAATTTCCGATCAGGTCAATATAATTTGTTCAGAAAACACTCATTCTTGATTAGTATCTGGATATGTAACTGATCACTCTCGTTTTAAGCCTCCATATATGTAAAAAAAAAAGATAATAAATTATACCTAAGACAATCATAATAGGTCATGTGGACGTTATTTTGAGTTTACATCACAGACTGACGATAAGCTGGACAAATGTTGGAAACTAATAAATACTTGATTATCGTTTTATCCTATTATGCAACTTTTCAAGAGTACACAATCACACCCCTGTCAGAAATAGAATTTAAAACTTTCAGTTCTCGTGGAGAGCTCTTTATCTTTCAATGTTTTAGACACGACGCTAATTTCTGCTCTCGTATCTACTAAGAATTGTGCCCCTGTCGCCTGGTCCTGTATGTATAACAAACTACTGTCCCTAGGAGTTACGCCTGCTGACGTAGTCGTCACCGACGTCCCTCTGGATCGTTTCTTAGTTGTGTCATTTTAGATCTACAAGGTGGTCTACGCTTTCTAGTCCTGTTGTCATTTGTTTGGTGATACCAGCATATCTAAAGAGCTAAGCGTCTATTCGAGGATGATAGGCTTCTAGTGAGCAAACTGTTTTGTGATCATCTTTGCGGTCTGTCATTCTGAGTCGACCTTGTCAACATGTGGCATAAAATACTTAACTCTCTCTGTAGCGTATCGACCCTGTCGTCTAGCGTCGTGTTGTGTAATTATGGGTCGCTGACCCTAAAAGGCAAGATAGGAAGATTAAGGAATCTCATGGACTGTATTTGAGAAAAACTTAACGTAGTGAACTCTAACATGTTTACAAACAATAAATAGTACACGAATAAAACAATGTACGTGTTAAGAAGGGAAATAAACTGACAATAATAGTAATAATAACAAACGATACGTTATAACACAGAATAGACTTACTAAATTACACCAGTGTATTAAATGTATATAAGATGTTTTTATTTATTATTGTTAATGGTGTTAAATTATCTCCCACAATATTTATAAGATAATGTACGTGTATTGAAAATAACGATAATGGTAATTCACAACAATAATAATCCACAAAAGTAATCCGAATTGAGACGAGATGTGTTGATTTTTGAATTTAGATCATACCGAAGAAAGCTGAGTTGAATTCGCACTTTCGGCTCACCAATTCTGTGGTGGATTATCTGTCAGGAGGATTACCACTGACTCCTATTTTGAGGGATACCTGATAACGTCTCAGCACACTGAAGTGCACCACTTTATTTCGCTATCAGAATAGTTGTTACGTATCACATATGACAGTATTATGAGGCTTTCTTTTATTACACGACACCATTTTGTAAACGGACAATCTACTTTTTTGAACCAGTACTATCGTTGTCATGTAATGCATGATATAGTCACTCAAAATGGCATTTGTGTGACACGTCCAAGTCACAGGAGCAGGTGTTAGATGATAACAATGACCGGAATTTTGTCACTGTGCCTGAACACACTTTGTCGAATCTCTGTATTACTAACACAGTGTTCCCACTGAAGGTCAGCAGTCTTTTATAGACGACGATGACCAAAGATTTTATCATTCTCAATATGGACGGTTAAGTTTTGTAAGCAGAGAGCGGTATACTCACACAGACGCCTCGTAAATGCGATGTCATTGCAAGACTAACATAGCGAAGAGCTAAAAGTTAGTCTGGATTGGAACAAGCCACTTTGCCTTCGGAAGATGCAAAGTACATCCGATACCTACGTAAGCTTATTACCAACTGACAAAATGAAACCGACATGCACTAAGATAACATCCGTGTGCTCAAGGTAGGGAAGTTTTCCTTCAAGCAAAACTGCTCTATTCCCTCCGCTTAGTCACTCAGACGATACTGGTAGTGACTCTTAAAATTATCCCCGTTTATCGCTTAACTTACTATTGCTGAAAACTTCAACAGAATTCATTGACTTTGATGAATGCTAAAATATTTTTGTTTTTATAACTACTTATTGTACATTATATTCTGCATATATTATCAAGTATCTCTTATTACCCCACCCCTTTGCTGACTTATGAGTACTGACTAGCATGAAAACCTAAGTCAAAGATGACTTTCTGTCGATAAAATCAAAACGCTAATAACGAAATGTAGTGTACGCGACTTCCTGTTATTTAGACTAGTAATAATCATCATATTGTATGTCGGTCGACAGAACGTATTCAGTGTTAAGAACTAATCAATTATAACTTTGATCGAGGTAGAGATTGATAACTCAAGTCAATGATTCTAATAGTTTCATTCCTTGGGCTGAGTGGTTTAATCATGGAACTTCCATTGTTCCTTAGAACAACAGCATCCTGTGATTAATGTATACAGTCATGAAAGTTTCAAGTCTGAATAATAGAAGGTACATCCAATGAATTCTCTTGTTTTCTGATTGAGGAGTTGATGGTATAAAAGATTTACGTGAACCGATCCCCATTGCATACAATGTGGATATGTTGTGGGAATTAGTGTCATTGACAATAGTGGGGAATTTAACAGATATGACCATAATAAGTCTCTCAAACACTATGGTTATGGTTTAAGTTATCATCACTTGGTTTACATACCTGGTTTTGAATCGCAGTTTTTATATGAGGGCTAGTAGGTGTAACAAAGTTCGAAAATGAGAACTACAGACTTTAACCTGAATGTCTTAATCATTAACCCAACATTTCTATGTAAATTTGATTCTTAAACAAGTGTAAATAGATATCGGTTGAGGTTTAGTTTTAGTGAAACAGTGACTTAGTGATTAAGGCCTTCAACTTTCAGTCAGTAGTTTTTAGGTTCAAGGCTCATTCTATCTAATTTGGCTTAATCAGCCAAGCAGTATCACTAGTCTTAACGTATATGAAGCGTGAGTCAAAGCTGAGTATACGAATTATGTATTATATTATTATATATTATCTTCAATGAATAAGGTACGAAACCACTTGATGATGAATAATCACAAATGCCCTGGTATGGCCGAGAGCGGGGAGGGTTCGCCCTCCCTCTCGAAATACTCTCACACGGCCACGCGTATACAGCCTCTGCCAGGGAAGTCCTACTCACTGCCTTCTCGTGGCGGGGGTGTTGTTTACGAAAATGAGAGGACGAAAAGCGAACGTCCGGCGCTATAACCGGATCCCAATTCTATGGTGCACATGGGCTCCAGTATCCTGCGGGAACAAATGGCGTATGAACCAACTTTTGGTCACCGGCTTCCATGGGACTGCATCTCCTCACGATGCTCCACTGCCTTGTGGACTAGACCTTTAGGTCAAAGGCTCGGGGTGTGGCCCCCTAAGAAAACCACCTGCTTCGGTTTGGGCACCCGGGCAGTATCTCAGCCCACACACCAAAACATGATGAAATATTCGCTTACGGAAAATATTCGTTCTTCTCTGACTAACATTGAAATGACTGATACTATTATTATTATTATTATTATTATTATTATTATTATTATTTACTGCGTCATTTACTCACTATCTCCTATTTCTACTTTTTGTATCCGTTTCGACTCAGACAGCAGCTCGCCTATGGTAAAAATTCAGCTTTATCTAAACGTTCTCGAGTCACTGCCTGGTTTGAAAATTGTATGTTACCATCGAATAAGAGTACTGAAGCAGTCTTTCTGAAACCACGCGCACCATTCAAACTGGCTGCCTTTAACGTTCGCACACTTATGCAGGTCGGACAACAGATAGGGCTGGCAATGTCTTTGGAAAGTCTTAATATTGATGTGTGTTGTCTATCCGAGACCCGTATTCAAGACTCTGGTGAAGTACTACAAGTTCGCTCTCCATCTGTCGCTCCAAAAAGCTTGTTTTACGTGCGTTTATCCGGGGACCCTGTGGCATCTTCGTCTGGTCTTGCTGGCGTTGGTGTCGCACTAAGCGCAAGAGCTGAGGCAGCACTAGTCGACTGGATCCCCATTAACAGTCGGTTATGTGCTGTTAGATTAGAAAGTACCATCAGAGTGAGAAGAAATCGGCGTGAGAAACGATGTCTTTTCGTCATCTCCGCCTATGCCCCGACAGATTGCAGCCCGGATGCAATCAAGGATGAGTTCTACCACCAGTTATCTGTTCTTCTCCAGAAAGTGCGTTCGACAGATATTGTAGTACTAGCTGGAGACTTGAATGCTCAGGTCGGGCGTCTAGGCACAGAAGAGAGTCGTTTAGGTGGTCGATGGGGACTCGTTGGTCGCAGGACAGATAACAGGGAACGTCTACTGCAACTATGCACAGACCACAACCTGTTTCTGGCTAGCACTAACTTTCGGCACAGTCATCGCCGATGTGCCACCTGGCGTCCCCCTTCTGCATCTCAAGCCTGGACTCAGATTGATCACATCGCGATCAGCTACCGCTGGCGCGGTTGTGTACAAGACTGCCGCTCCTTTTGGAGTACCTATCTGGAATCTGATCATGCTCTGGTCTGCGCCAATCTTACCTTACTTTTCAGTGGACAACGAAGTGACCGCCACCACAGGATTGATGTTAGCAAGCTGGCTGCAACTTCTGTTGCTAGTAAGTACCGAGCCGAGCTAGCTTCTAGGCTAGCCACTATTCCACCGAAAAGTTTAGATGAGCATTGGTTGCAATTGCATGACGCCATGAAAATGGCGGGTACAGTCTGTTGTGGGTTCGCGAAACGTCCCGCTTATAAGCACTGGGTTTCTTCTGGTTCCTTACAACTGATGGAAGCCCGTCGGTCTACTCCGGGTGACCGTGAGTTTAACCACAGACGAACGATGTTACGTAATGAAATCGGGCAAAGCTTGCGTAATGAACGAAAAGCCTGGTGGTCGGAGCGTGATAATGAGCTGGAAGCAGCAGCTGCATCTGGTGGTAACCGGAAGCTCTTCCAACTCATCCGAGCCACCGGCAGCAAGAAGTCTGGTGTGAGCGAAACAATCTGCGAGGATGACGGAACGCCAATCACTAACATCCATCGACGTCTTGGACGATGGGCAGAATTCTTTGAAGGGCAGTTCAACTGGCCTGCTGCTCCGGCAACATCGGTCAGACTGTCCTGCCCTCCTTGGCCGGTGACGACTGATCCACCAAATGAGGCGGAAGTCCGCAAGGAGCTCCAACTCTTGAAACGTTACAAATCACCAGGCCCAGACGACTTACCCCCGGCTCTTTTTAAAGATGGTGGTGACTTTCTGACTAAAGGACTGACGACGTTGTTTACAAAGATCTGGGAACTAGAGAGTGTACCAACGTCATGGAATGATTCGATAGTTGTCCCTATCTTTAAAAAGGGTTCACGTTGTTCCTGTAACAACTATCGGGGGATAAGTCTACTTCCGATTGCGTCCAAGCTATTGGCTTCCGTCATACTTCGTAGGTTGTTCAGAACCCGAGAAGGATTGACTCGCGAGGAGCAGGCTGGGTTTCGTCCTGGTCGAGGATGTATTGATCATATCTTCACCCTCCGCCAAGTGTTAGAACACCGCCATACTTATCAAAGGCCAACAATCGTAGTGTTTCTTGATATCAAGGCTGCTTTCGATTCGTTGGACAGAACTGTTCTCTGGGATTGTCTATTGAAGAAGGGTGTGCCTGAGAAGTTTATTAACATCTTGAAAGCCCTATACACAAACACCTCAGGCAGAGTGAGGGCATACAACCACCGTTCTCTATTATTCCATTTGAGCAGTGGAGTTAGGCAGGGTTGCCCAATCTCACCATTCCTCTTCAACTTTGCCATCGATGACATTCTGGAAACAGCTCTGACGGATGTAAGTAATGGTGGTGTGGATCTGTTGCCTGGAGAAAGACTTCTTGACCTTGAGTATGCGGATGATATTGTCTTACTGTGCGATAATGCCCAAGCTATGCAATCCGCACTTAATCAGTTGGCAATCAATGTCCGTAGGTATGGTATGTGCTTTGCACCCTCGAAGTGCAAAGTACTTCTACAAGACTGGCAGGATTCTAATCCTGTACTCACTCTGGATGGTGAGCAGATAGAAGTAGTCGAGAAGTTCGTGTATCTGGGTAGCTGCATAAGTGCTGGTGGTGGCGTGAGTGATGAGATCAATGCACGTATAGTGAAAGCCAGAGCGGCTTATGCCAATCTGGGCCATCTTTGGCGCCTTCGTGATGTTAGTCTGGCTGTAAAAGGTCGGATCTACAACGCGACGGTGAGAGCAGTTTTGCTCTATGCTTGTGAAACCTGGCCTCTCCGAGTTGAGGATGTTAGACGACTCTCTGTGTTTTATCATCATTGTCTCAGAAGGATTGCTGACATCCAGTGGCAACACCATGTCAGTAATGCAGAGGTTTGGCATCGTGTGTTCGGGCACAGAGACGATATTCCAATTGATGTCACCATCTTGAAACACCGACTTCGGTGGCTTGGACATGTTCTACGAATGTCGTCCCAGAGAATTCCTCATCGTGCATTATTTGCCGACTCTGGGACTGGTTGGAAAAAGCGGAGAGGTGGTCAGTATATGACATGGTGTCGTAGTATGAAAGAAAGCTGCAAAGGGCTAGCTTATGTTGGTCCTTCACGACTCCCTGGTTGGGGTCCGAGAGATGGTGTAACGCAGTGGCTAGAGACGTTATCAGATATGGCTCAGAATAGAAGCCAGTGGCGATCCTGCTGTAACCTTCTTTTACTTTCTTCATAAAAAGGTGGTCGTATTCTTCCTTAACTGAAAGATCTGTTCTGATTGTACCTTTCCGTTTCCCCCACCATTGTTCTCTCTCTCTCTCTCTTCTTTTTTTTTTAATAATTCCCCACGTTCATTATTTTTTTTTTCTTCTCTTTTCTCCTTCTCTTCTAATTATCACTGTTTTGTGTGGCGCATATATATTTGGTGCCCCCCTGTACCAATATTTATGTGTTCAAATAAATAATAAATAAATACAAGGCTCATATCAAAATAAGTATATAGCTCTATCCACTGATTAACACTAAATCTATAATCAGTATGATCACCATAAGAATCTCAACAGTATGCATGAAAAACTCGCTACCTGGTAATTCACTTCATGGTAAACGCAAAATAGGCCAAAAAATATATCAATAATAGTTGTTAAAAATAAATACAAATGTACAAAAGTTAACAACAATAAGCGGAGAGTAGAAGAGAAAGAGAAGTACCAGTGTTTGAAATCAAATCAAGTATCTACATGACGTAAAGTAATGAGTAATAATAGTGATAATAATAATAATATATTTCATCTTAAAAGAAAACAATGACGAACAATCATAATAGAGTTTATTTGCAGATCCCAGTTTGATGTTCGAATTTCTCTCGTTTATTGTGCGTTTTACTAGAAAAAAAATTAGAAGAGAATGGAGAGAACAACAGTTATTTTTAGTAATGAAAGTTAAAATTTTAATGTACTTCATGAAGCCGTGGCTACATGCTTAAGATGTTCGGCGACTTCTAGCTGCTAAGTCGTAAGTTCGAATACCACTTCGTTGAATTTGATCTAAGCAACTGAGTTTTATAACTAGCCCTAATACTTGATCTGTGACTGAAAATCAATTACATAAATCTGTCATTGGTAATCAATTGTATATTAATAATAGTCTAATATAATTCATTTACTAAGTATAGAATTTATGATGAAATAATATAAGACATTTATGGCTTAAATGAATACTTCCGATAGTGTTGCGTTTTCTGAGTTAGGTGTTGATGTTGTCTAGAACAATAATGACAGTATTGCACATTAAATCAACCAGTTCAGACAATATAACATTACTAATAGGACTTATGTACTCAGTCCAAAATGACATATGTGAAGAGCGAGGTTGAAAAGTATGACTTATTACTTAGAAGCTACTACTCCATGTAATTGTTATATAATGTTTTAGGCTAACTCAAAATGACTAAGAAAATGTTTTATTAGGTCAACAACTAACTACAATCTTAATGAACTTGGATCAGATTGTTCAAGTTTGAGTTAAGTAAAGCTATAGTCATTCACATATTGTGTATTCTTGAATATTTAGTCAATCAGATGCTAATTATCATCATACCATATTATATTAATCACAACAGTATGAGTTAATTTTACATAGAGACAGAGTGAGAAAAAAGAAGAAACACCAATTTGTTTAGAAATAAACCACAAATCATCATCCCGATCAATGATACTACAGAGTTAATGAAATTTAAAAAAAAAAAAAAAAACATTGGAATTTCTTTGTTTTACATGACATACATTATATAAAGACATGAAACTAATGTTATGGAAACTTTACAAAACTTATGATATATCAGTCTAATCACCCTTTAGGATACTCTTTATTTATAATAAACAACTAGTCTGATTTTAACTCCTTAAATCATCAATAGAGGCTAACAGATGTGAAGCGTTCCAGATGCCTTCTGATTCCACGTACTGTGTTCGTTCACATTGTTGAGGATATAAAACTAAATAATCATTTTGTATTTCGGAAACAAACATAAATAGCAAAAGTTTCAGTTTGGTGAGTAGATAAGGTGATTTATCGCAATGATTGTACTACCTTGAATTCCGTAAATTAAAGTTTCTATAACCTCACTTCTTGTATTTGCCCCCAAATGCCCTGGTATGGCCGAGAGTGGGGTGGGTTCGCCCTTCCTCTCGAAATACTCTCACATGGCCACGCGTATATATCCTCTGTCAGGGAAGTCCTACTCACTGCCTTCTCGTGGCGGGGTGTTGTTTACGAAAATGAGAGGACGAAAAGCGAATGTCCGGCGCTTTAACCGGATCCAAAATCCATGGTGCACATGGGCTCCAGTATCCTGCGAGAACAAATGGCGTATGAATCAGTCGTTGGTCACCGGCTTCCGTGGGACTGTACCTCCTCACGATGCTCCACTGCCTTGTGGGTTAGACCTTTAGGTCGAAGGCTCGGGGTGTAGCCTACTAAGAAAACCACCTGCTTCGGTCTGGGCATCCGGGCAGTATCTCAGCCTACATACAAATATAATGATAATGAAATTGATGATATTCACTGAAAACTATTCTCGCTGCGATTTACTGTCAAACAATTCACATTATTATTATTATTATTATTATTATTATTATTATTATTATTATTATTATTATTATTATTATTATTATTATTATTATTATTATTATTATTATTATTATTATTTATCACGTCATTTACTCACTCTCTTTCATTCCCAATCTGTCTATCCTTATTTTTCAACTTACACAGCAGCTCGCCTATGGTGAACATTCAGCTTTATCTAAACGTTCTCGAGTCACTGCCTGGTTGAAAATTGTATGTTACCACCGAATACGAGTACTGAAGCAGTTTTTCTGAAACCACGTGCACCATTCAAACTGGTTGCCTTTAACGTACGCACACTTATGCAGGTGGGACAACAGATAGGACTGGCTATGTCTTTGGAAAGTCTTAATATTGATGTGTGTTGTCTATCCGAGACCCGTATTCAAGACTCTGGTGTAGTACTACAAGTTCGCTCTCCATCTGTCACTTCAAAAAGCTTGTTTTATGTGCGTTTATCCGGGGACCCTGTGACATCTTCGTCTGGTCTTGCTGGCGTTGATGTCGCACTAAGCGCTAGAGCTGAGGCAGCACTAATCGATTGGATCCCCATTAACAGTCGGTTATGTGCTGTTATATTAGAAAGTACCATCAAAGTGAGAAGAAATCGGCGTGAGAAACGATGTCTTTTCGTCATCTCTGCCTATGCCCCGACAGATTGCAGCCCGGATGCAATCAAGGATGAGTTCTACCACCAGTTAACCGTTCTTCTCCAGAAAGTGCGTTCGACATATTGTAGTACTAGCCGGAGACTCGAATGCTCAGGTCGAGCGTCAAGACACAGAAGAGAGTCGTTTAGGTGGTCGATGGGGACTCGTTGGTCGCAGGACAGATAACAGGGAACGTCTATTGCAACTATGCACAGACCACAACCTGTTTCTGGCTAGCACAATCTTTCGGCATAGTCATCGCCGATGTGCCACCTGGCGTCCCCCTTCTGCATCTCAAGCCTGGACTCAGATTGATCACATCGCGATCAGCTACCGCTGGCGTGGTTGTGTGCAAGACTGCCGCACCTTTTGGAGTACCTATCTGGAATCTGATCATGCCCTGGTCTGCGCCAACCTTACCTTACTTTTCAGTGGACAACGAAGTGGCCACCACCACAGGATTGATGTTAGCAAGCTGGCTGCAACTTCTGTTGCTAGTAAGTACCGAACCGAGCTAGCTTCTAGGCTAGCTACCATTCCACCGAAAAGTATAGATGAGCATTGGTTGCAATTGCATGACGCCATGAAAATGGCGGGTACAGTCTGTTGTGGGTTCGCGAAACGTCCCGCTTATAAGCACTGGGTTTCTTCTGGTTCCTTACAACTGATGGAAGCCCGTCGGTCTACTCCGGGTGACCGTGAGTTTAACCACAGACGAACGATGTTACGTAATGAAATCGGGCAAAGCTTGCGTAATGAACGAAAAGCCTGGTGGTCGGAGCGTGATAATGAGCTGGAAGCAGCAGCTGCATCTGGTGGTAACCGGAAGCTCTTCCAACTCATACGAGCTACTGGCAACAAGAAGTCTGGTGTGAGCGAAACAATCTGCGAGGATGACGAAACGCCAATCACTAACATTCATCGACGTCTTGGACGATGGGCAGACTTTTTCGACGGGCAGTCCAACTGGCCTTCTGCTCCAGCAACATCGGTCAGACTGTTCTGCCCTCTATGGCCGGTGACGACTGATCCACCAAATGAGGCGGAAGTCCGCAAGGAACTCCAACTCTTGAAACGTACAAATCACCGGGCCCAGACGACTTACCTCCGGCTCTGTTTAAAGATGGTGGTGACTTTCTGACTAAGGGACTGACGACGTTGTTTACAAAGGTCTGGGAACTAGAGAGTGTACCAACGTCATGGAATGATTCGATAGTTGTCCCTATCTTTAAAAAGGGTTCACGTCGTCCCTGTAACAACTATCGGGGGATAAGTCTACTTCCGATTGCGTCCAAGCTATTGGCTTCCGTCATACTTCGTAGGTTGTTCAGAACCCGAGGAAGATTGACTCGCGAGGAGCAGGCTGGGTTTCGTTCTGGTCGAGGATGTATTGATCATATCTTCACCCTCCACCAAATGTTAGAACACCGCCATACTTATCAAAGGTCAACAATCGTAGTGTTTCTTGACATCAGGGCTGCCTTCCATTCGTTGGATAGGACTGTTCTCTGGGATTGTCTACTGAAGAAGGGTGTGCCTGAGAAGTTTATTAACATCCTAAAAGCCCTATACACAAACACCTCAGGCAGAGTGAGAACATAAAACCACCTTTCTCCATTGTTCCATTCAAGCAGTGGGGTTAGACAGGGTTGTCCAATCTCACCATTCCTCTTCGACTTTGCCATCGATGACATTCTGGAAACAGCTCTGATGGATGTAAGTGATGGTGGTGTGGATCTGTTGCCTGGAGAAAGACTTCTCGACCTTGAGTATGCGGATGATATTGTCTTACTGTGCGATAATGCCCAAGCTATGCAATCCGCACTTAATCAGTTGGCAATCAATGTCCGTAGGTATGGTATGTGCTTTGCACCTTCCAAGTGCAAAGTTCTTCTACAAGACTGGCAGGATTCTAATCCTGTACTCACTCTGGATGGTGAGCAGATAGAAGTAGTCGAGAAGTTCGTGTATCTAGGTAGCTGCATAAGTGCTGGTGGTGGTGTGAGTGATGAGATCAATGCACGCATAGTGAAAGCCAGAGCGGCTTATGCCAATCTGGGCCATCTTTGGCGCCTTCGTGATGTTAGTCTGGCTGTAAAAGGTCGGATCTACAACGCGACGGTGAGAGCAGTTTTGCTCTATGCTTGTGAAACCTGGCCTCTCCGAGTTGAGGATGTTAGACAAGTCTCTGTGTTTTATCATCATTGTCTCAGAAGGATTGCTGACATCCAGTGGCAACACCATGTCAGTAATGCAGAGGTTTGGCATCGTGTGTTCGGGCACAGAGACGATATTCCAATTGATGTCACCATCTTGAAACACCGACTTCGGTGGCTTGGACATGTTCTACGAATGTCGTCCCAGAGAATTCCTCATCGTGCATTATTTGCCGACTCTGGGACTGGTTGGAAAAAGCGGAGAGGTGGTCAGTGTGTAACATGGTGTCGTGGTATGAAAGAAAGCTGCAAAGGGCTAGCTTCTGTTGGTCCTTCACGACTCCCTTGCTGGGGTCCGAGAGATGGTATAACACGGTGGCTAGAAAGGTTATCAGATATGGCTCAGAATAGAAGCCAGTGGCGATCCTGTTGTAACCTTTTACTTTCTTC